TGCAATAATGCGGAAGAGAAGTGCATCGTTATTGCGTCGAGTTCGTGACAGTGACAACAGTCTTTTGAGAATCATATCGAGCAAGATCGAGGGACTGCTGATCAATAGCCTTTGCAGTAGGCACTTGGAAGGAGAAAAATAATAATATATAATGGTATAAAATGTATAATATAATGATAGTTATGTGTTAGATTTTTAAGTTACTAACATAGATTATAAGTAATTATTACTAACAAAATGTTATGGTTTTAAAAAAAAAAAAAATAACTGAAATAAAGCATTAATAATAATAAAATAATAATAAAATGCAGATGGAATTAAAAATTAATGAAAGAGAAAATGTAGAAGAATTTTAAGAGGTTTTTTTCATGATAATATTTTAAAGATAGGTGGTAGGACCTCTTGTGAGTCCGCACGGGTAGGTACCACCACCCTGCCTATTTCTGCCGTGAAGCAGTAATGCGTTTCGGTTTGAAGGGTGGGGCAGCCGTTGTAACTATAATTGAGACCTTAGAACTTATATCTCAAGGTGGGTGGCGCATTTACGTTGTAGATGTCTATGGGCTCCAGTAACCACTTAACACCAGGTGGGCTGTGAGCTCGTCCACTCATATAAGCAACAAAAAAAAAATAAAAAAAAAGATATGATATTTGAATCGTTACCATGTAAACTAAAATTAAATGTCAAATTTCAGAACAGTTCAATTTGATTTGGACTCATATTTCATTGTACTTGAAAAATGGCCTCGTTCAAAATAAGAAGGCAAATTGTGAAGAAGTGTACAGTTGTCTTATACTGGAGATTTTTAGGTGTTTTTAGATACCTCGTCGTGGCCTAAGCGATAAGACGTCCGGTGCATTCGTGTGGAGCGATGCACCGGTGTTCGAATCTCAGGCGGGGGTACCAATTTTTCTAATGAAATACGTACTCAACAAATGTTCACGATTGACTTCCACGGTGAAGGAATAACATCGTGTAATAAAAATCAAACCCGCAAAATTATAATTTGCGTAATTACTGGTGGTAGGACCTATTGTGAGTCCGCGCGGGTAGGTACCACCACCCTGCCTATTTCTGCCGTGAAGCAGTAATGCGTTTCGGTTTGAAGGGTGGGGCAGTCGTTGTAACTATACTGAGACCCTTAGAACTTATATCTCAAGATGGGTGGCGCATTTACGTTGTAGATGTCTATGGGCTCCAGTAACCACTCAACACCAGGTGGGGCTGTGAGCTCGTCCACCTATCTAAGCAATAAAAAAAAAAAAACCTCGATTAACTGCGACTGTGAAAAGTACAAAATTCTCTACTTCATGTTTGCCAATAAGAGAATCTTCCGCCTCCGAAAAAACTTCCGCTAGTGACTGGAATCATTATGGAAACGATACTTCACAAAACAAAACAGGATAAAAAAGATAGTTTTCCAAAATTAATACGTGTTATTAGATATTTCACCTTAGTTAATGTAGCAGAAAAGGGTAGAAGAATTTATGACTTGCTATAAATTTTTGCAGCCAGGAAGCACGCCTTGATACTCAGAGGTCAGGTAGATGTTGAAAAAATTTGGTAAATAAAAATTAAGTTCTAGTTAGAGTGGATTTCCACTAATGGAAAGCGTTAAGGTTTTAGTTTCTTGGATAATAGATTATTTTGAAAAACAGATAACAGCTTAAGTTAGTTATCTGATATAATTATAATATGTATAGATAACTATAAGATGCATTTAAAAACAATTAGATCGTCAATAAAATTCAAGATTCAACAAAGCGAATGTTGCGCATCTGGATACGATTCTAAGATAAGAGACTGATGAATAGACTAATATCCAAATAAACTAAAATCCATGTGGCCTAGTTGCTATAAATTTCACTATTAAAAATTAAATCCGCATGATCGATGTTTTCAACGCGAATACATTTTAATCTCAATTGGACATGAGTAACCGCAGTTCTAAAGGACAGCTTGGTCACTGAGCTAATAGAGGTCACGATTTATGGCCACCCCATAAATTTGCGGGGCGACTTAACATGAACGTACATCGTAATATGGGAACACTGGCTTTTGTTCGTACATTTGGATTTAACTTCTTGAAATATTAAATTCCTTGTTCGAATAGTCAAGGGAATCGGATTCCAGTTGCAGTCAAAGACAGAACTATAATAATCTTTAATGCAGGAACATCTGGTCGAAATGAAAAATACAAATCCTATCATTTCATATTTGAATTACGATGAAATTTTGTGTTTAGTGCTATTGATTTGAGACCAATCTAAAGAATGGACGCTGTGGACCACGAAAGGTTTGAAAAATACAAATCCTAACATTTTATATTTGAATTACGATAAAATTTAGTGTTTAGTTGTTGATTTGAGACCAATCTAAAGAATGGACGCTGTGGACCACGAAAGGTTTGAACGTGACCAGTCAGAAGGAATAATGGGGAAGTTACTATTGACGGAACAATAATTTGACATAATCAAAATATCATCAAAATAAACAAAAAATATACTCCCAAAATCATAGCTCAATGAACGCTTAACTACTGAGAATTACAAAAAAAAAACTTTTTTTTGTCCTAGTATATAAAATTTATTCAAGTTTTGAAATCAGTATTGAAATTTGATTTTATTCATGAAAAGAAAATATCAGATAAAGTAAGCAGAAAGCTGAAAAGTAATAGTAAAACTTTTTATGTTTTATTTGAAAATCGTCAAGTTTGACAGTAAATTCATAGACTTACGCTGGAAGATTGATAAGCTGCGAGGAAAATATTTAAAAATTTATTTTAATGAGACAATACTAAATGAAAAAGCAATGCATATTAAATGTCTAATGGCAATAGTTTTATTTTGTGCCAATATTATAATAACCCGAAGCAAAAGATATGATAACTTCATACTCTATAAAGCGACTCCCGTCGAACCAGATCACTTGATATTCTTTCAGAATCTGGACCGCAAAAAATATATCGATGTTGTGTTTTGGAAGAAGCCAAACAAGTTGTTCGAAGACGTCCACTTTATTGTGAACCCTTCAGACAAGGAGCTGCTATTGGAGAGAGCTCAACATTTTAATTTGGACCTAGACGTGCTATCGGAAAATATTCAAAGGTAATTTTCATCATTTCGCAATAGTATCGTTGTTTTTATTTCCTTACTAGCTGACTTGGCAGACTTCGTAGTACCTCAATTAATAAATAAAAGACCTAAGCTTTTGTATAAATAAAATTAAAACAAACAAAAGGAATCCGTCCGACGGGGACACATCAAAGGAAAAAGAAAATTGATATTTTTATTTAATTCCGTGCATTTTCATATTTATCTACCTTTTAAACCTTCTCTGGACTTCCAAAAATAATTCAAGATCAAAATTAGCCAAAGCGGTCCAGCCGTTCTCGTGTTTTAGCGAGACTAACGAACAGCAATTCAGTTTTTATTTCCTTATTTGTGTTTTTAATTTAAAAGAAAATAGTACTAACTTTATAGAAAAGTTTTGCAGCTTAATTCGACACGGCTTTTTATTATGATAATTTAAATAAATATATAGTTGCACACGCTGCGGTAGCTGCGGTGAAATGTATAAATCGAGTCTTGTTACAAATTGACATATTATAATTATATTTAAAACTGATCTTTGACCTTGTAGCTTTTTTTATAACCTGTTTATTTTCTTATTTAATTCGCTATCCATACTGCGCCAATATTCGAGTGTTGACATGAATTCTTTCCGTAAGCTAATTTTACAGACAGTGAAATTGTGGTACGAATTTTAAACAGCTAAGAGGTACACAGTTTTGCTCTGCAGAAGATAGTCTGATCCATTGATTAATGCCTTATAAAACTAAACGTAAAACTTGTGTACGTAACAATGCAACTTGGTAACTACACTCCAATGGTACATTCATAGTAAAATATTTAGTTTTAACTAGTGGACCCGGCAGACTTCGTAGTGCCTCAATCGATAAATAAAAGACCTAAACTTTTGTATAAAATAAAGTTAAAACAAACGAAAGGGATCCGTCCGATGGGGGGACATCATAGTAAAAACAAAATTGTTATTTTTATTTAATTCCAAGCATTTTCATATTTATTTTAAAACTTTTGAACCTTCTCTGGACTTCCACAAATCAATCGAGATCAAAAGTAGCCAAATCGGTACAGCCGTTCTCGAGTTTTAGCTAGACTAACGAACAGCAATTCATTTTTATATAATATAGAGATTTGAAGTAAAAACGAAATACCACACATTTCTTTACATAAATTGTTTCTATAAATTGCCAGGACCTTAATATTGTCGTCATTTTCGATAACTTTAACAACTATTCCAAGCACAAGTTTATTATAGCCTACCAGCTAATTTATAAAAATTATCTCATTTTCAGAGCATTCGACAGTCAAATAGTAAAAAATTACCTTCGATTACGTGTAGAATCTTATAGCTGGACTAATTACCACAATTTAGTGGACATCTATCAATGGCTAGCAGATTTAGCTCTGAAAAATCCTTCCGTAACAGGACTTATGTCTATTGGAAAGTCTGCGGAAGATCGAGATATATTCGTGATTGGCATTAACCGATCGGGGGCAAAATCTAAAGTTATTGTCGAAGGCGGTATGCACGGAAATGAATGGATATCTACAGAATTCCTGTTATATTTGGCTTATAATCTGATAATGTCCAATCGCACTGCGAACGAACGATTGTTTGAATTGTCTAAGAACTATCACTGGTATCTGTTACCTGTCTGCAATCCTGATGGATACGAATTTAGCCATAGTGAAGTAAGATTTTATTTGCATTGACTAGTACGTAGTTATATTTTGATGAGCGTTTTACTTATTTCTTAATTCAAATTAAATCTTGGGTTAATTTTGACACGCTCACTAAATGTCTGGAAAATTTGCGTTTCAGCCTAGAAGATGTAATGGATAAGTATTGCTGTCGCAGTATCAATCTAGTTAAAGTTTCTATTGTTACTAGCACTGTTAAAATTGAGATAGTATATACAGTTTGAAGTAGACTTAAATGAACAAACTCCGATCTGACGTTGTGTTTGTAATTACTTATCACAAGGGGAACCCTTAGTATAGGCGTTGCTCATCAAAGTATTAGATCTTCTAGTTAATGAAACCTAAGCTACTTTCGAAGATAATAATTGAACGGAAGTTATTTAAGAGGTTTTATTGAATTACAGGACCGTTTGTGGATGAGGAATAGAAGGAACGTGGGCCATGGATATTTCGGTGTAGATTTGAATAGGAATTTCGATTATAAGTTTGGAAGTGAGTTTGGATTTTTTTTAAATCCCTTTTTTTTCCCTTGCTGATGAGTACTGCATTTTTTTTATTGCTTAGTTAGGTGGACGAGCTCACAGCCCACCTGGTGTTAAGTGGTTACTATAGCCCATAGACGTCCACAACGCAAATGCGCCACCCACCTTGAGATATAAGTTCTAAGGTCTCAGTATAGTTACAACGGCTGCTCCACCCTTCAAACCGAAACGCATCAATGCTTCACGGCAGAAATAGGCAGGGTGGTGGTACCCACCCGCGCGGACTCACAAGAGGACTTACCACCAGTAATTACGCAAATTATAATTTTGCGGGTTTCATTTTTATTACACTATGTTATTCCTTCACCGTGGAAGTCACTCATGAACAATTGTTAAGTACGTATTTCATTAGAAAAATTGGTACCCGCCTGAGATTCGAACACCGGTGCATCGCTCAACACGAATGCACCGGACGTCTTATCCGTTAGGCCACGACGACTTCAAATTCGTTATCTGGTGATAGACGATACAACGAGGCACCTATTCTAGATTCAACCACGTCTACATGACAGGGTGGTTGTACCGACCTATAGATACTGGCAACATGTACCTCGTTGATAAGAAAACAGATACAAATATTGCAGTCAAGGAATTTTTTTAGATAAGAGTGGTAGTACGTCTAGGATTAACAAAGTCACTTACTTGTATTTTCTGATTAAAAGCGGGCCTGATTATCATTATTATGATAATACGATTCAGAACATTTTAAGTATTCTAAGGTGAAACTAAAGGTCAATGTAACGATGTTTGACCGAAAAAATGCAAAAATTGATTAGAAGATTTAATTCAACCAAAGCGTCTTATTAATGGTAGAACTCAATTCACGCTATAAATTATTTATTCAGTTTTTGTTAATTTGTGAGAAAAATATGAAGAGTTACGGCAGTAATTCTCAACCTTTTTTTTTGTTGCGGCACATATTTAACGATTTCAAAATTTGGCGGCACACAAAAAAAAAAGAAAAATTATTTACTTACTACAACACACTGCATAAATAGATTATCAAAAAATTTTAATATACGAAATAAACTAAAATATACTGTAATTTCTTTTTTTGTGGATTTAAATATATATTCATGTTTAAAATATTTTTCTTTTCAAATGATATAATTTAATAATATTAACATTATTATATATTCGCAAAATTTGGCGGCACACTTTTCAAATTTGGCGGCACACAAAAGTGCCGCGTAACAGTGGTTGAGAATCACTGAGATACGGTATCAAAGTCTATTTCCGCCACAAGTCATTTTTATTGTCTTATTCAAGTATAGCTTGACCATTACTTAAACTTAACTTATTGTAGAAATTGATTAGGGATTTTCTTTGTGATAAAATCTTCAAACTAGTTAGGTAGCTTAACAGTATAGGTCTAAATCTCAAGGCTGCTTCATATATCAAAGCGGAACGCATTATTGTTTCACGGTAGAAATAGGCGGAGTGATAGTTCACCTTCACATGCAAGTTCACAAGACGCCCTACCGGTATGCAATTAATAACTAAGCTACCTAACTAATCTATCTCTATATATAAAAATGAATTGCTGTTCGTTAGTCTCGCTAAAACTCGAGTACGGCTGGACCGATTTGGCTAATTTTGGTCTTGAATTATTTGTGGAAGTCCAGAGAAGGCTTAAAAGGTAGATAAATATGAAAATGCTCGGAATTAAATAAAAATAGCAATTTCGTTTTTCCTTTGATGTGTCCCCCGTCGGACGAATTCCTTTTGTTTGCTTTAAGTTTATTTTATACAAAAGTTTAGGTCTTTTATTTATCGATTGTGGCACTACGAAGTCTGCCGGGTCAGCTAGTGTATAAATATATTTTTAATTAATACCCTTATATTGTTTGGCCGTCAGAGCATAACATAATTCCCAATTCAAAAGACGACAGCTACGGTGGACCGGTTCCGTTTTCGGAACCAGAATCAAGAGTCATCAGGGACTTTGTTACGAAGGAGAGCGAAGGCCTCAAATATTATTTTTCGTTTCATGCATACGGTCAAAAAATCGTAATACCGTACTCGGAGAGCAAAAACAATATGGAGCACGATGAATTGGTAAGTCGTTGTTCAATTGAGGCATTTATTGGTCTTGCAGTAATTCAAGTTGGAACTGAAATAATCGAAACATGACTGTAAATTGAAATTATAAAAAAACATATAGTGTTCAATTAATGGGATCTAACATAATTAATACAAATTTTGGANACTAACCTTTATAATAATCTAGTTAGAAAAGTTGAAAACCTTGACATATTTGGCGATTCCCTTCCAATATTTAAGAACAAAATTATAAAAAGTTGTTGTTGAACCTCAGCCTCGGCCTTGGTCTGAGTACTCGGGTATTACTGTCCTTGTTGTCTTTCTGTTTTTAATTTTTTATTATTATTTATAGTATTGTTAAATCTCTATTAATATGTTAATGTAATGCATGCTGTGATTGCCTATAATTAGAGTTGCAGTTATCAATTGCCCTATACATGTCAATGTTATTTTATGTCTTACTGTAAACCCTGTCGGTAATCCTTAAATAAATAAATAAATAAATTACTTATCACAAGGGGAACCCTTAGTATAGGCGTTGCTCATCAAAGCATTAAATCTTGTAGTTAATGAAACCTAAGCTACTTTCGAAGATAATAATTGAACGGAAGTTATTTAAGAGACTTTATTGAATTACAGGACCGTTTGTGGATGAGGAATAGAAGGAACGTGGGCCATGGATATTTCGGTGTAGATTTGAATAGGAATTTCGATTATAAGTTTGGAAGTGAGTTTGGATTTTTTTTAAATACCTATTTTTTTCCCTTGCTGATGAGTACTACATATTTGGTGATAGACGATACAACAATGATCCTATTCTTCAAATAAGAACATTCAAGATTCAACCACGTCTACATGACAGGGGGGTTGTACCGACCTGTAGATACTGGGCAACATGTACCTCGTTGACAAGAAAACAGATACAAATATTGCAGTCAAGGAAGAATTTTAGATAACGAGTGGTAGTACGTCTAGGATTAACAAAGTCACGTACTTGTATTTTCTGATTAAAAGCGGGCCTGATTATCATTATTATGATAATACGATTTAGAACATTTTAAGTGTTCTAAGGTGAAAATAAAGGTCAATGTAACGATGTTTCACTGAACATAAAATGCAAAAATTGATTAGAAGATTTAATTCAACCAAAGCGTCTTATTAATGGTAGAACTCAATTCACGCTATAAATTATTTATTCAGTTTTTGTTAATGTGTGAGAAAAATATGAAGAGTTACGGTATCAAAGTCTATTTCCGCCACAAGTCATTGTTATTGTCTTATTCAAGTATAGCTTGACCATTACTTAAACTTAACTTATTGTGGAAATTGATTAGGCATTTTCTTTGTAATAAAATCTTCAAACTAGTTAGGTGGCTTAACAGTATAGGTCCAAATCTCAAGGCTGCTTCATATATCAAAGCGGAACGTATTACTGTTTCACGGTAGAAATAGGCGGAGTGATAGTACCTTCACATGCAAGTTCACAAGACGCCCTACCGGTATGCAATTAACAACTAAGCTACCCAACTAAACTAACAACTACCCAACTAATGTATAAATATATATATATTTAATTAATATCCGTATATTGTTTGGCCGTCAGAGCATAACATAATTCCCAATTCAAAAGACGACAGCTACGGTGGACCGGTTCCGTTTTCGGAACCAGAATCAAGAGTCATCAGGGACTTTGTTACGAAGGAGAGCGAAGGCCTCAAATATTATTTTTCGTTTCATGCATACGGTCAAAAAATCGTAATACCGTACTCGGAGAGCAAAAACAATATGGAGCACGATGAATTGGTAAGTCGTTGTTCAATTGAGGCATTTATTGGTCTTGCAGTAATTCAAGTTGGAACTGAAATAATCGAAACATGACTGTAAATTGAAATTATAAAAAAACATATAGTGTTCAATTAATGGGATCTAACATAATTAATACAAATTTTGGAGTAGATAGTATAATCATCCGTAATAGTCGTATCTTGACTTATTTAATATATTTTGCGATTATCTAGCCTATTGGTAGTGGTGTGGCATAGCGATTATCCACCCGATGTCTTCCCGTGGGTGTAGCAAAAGGTGAATTAGAGACATCAGCATCACCATAGGCATCAGCTGTTTTGAGTATGACACCGATTGACCGCCGATTGACTTTGATCGCCAATGGGTAATTGTTGGTGGTAGGGTGTATTCTGACCTTACACGAACGAATATTTTCATTCTGTCCTTTTCTCTCCTGAAGTAACGATGCAATCCAATTAGATGAGCAGGGCAGTATATTCCTATGAAACCGACACCCACTTTCTGTCCTAAAACAATATTCACTTCATTGGCAATGAGCTCGAGGGACTTCAGGTAAGCCAATGAATAGACCAGCCTGTCCAAACAAGTAAAAAATACTATTAAAGACCTAGCCCTAATAACTATTTTGGAACAGGACAATTTGGGAAAACAAGCCATCATAAAAATGTTTAGAACAAGCGGAGTGAAATACAGCATCAGCACTGGTTACGGTGAGTATATTTATATAAAAACTAGCGACCCGCCCTCGCTTCGCTTCGGAAACATTAAAACACACATGAAACCAAAAAAAATAATAATAAAAAAATTAAAAAAAAGTAGCTTATGTTCATCAGGGACAATGTCGGCTTCTAATGGAAAAAGAATTTTTCAAATCGGTCCAGTAGTTTCGGAGCCTATTCGAAACAAACAAACAAACAAATCTTTCCTCTTTATAATATTAGTATAGATTTAATTGTTTTCAATCGTCCATGATTAGCCTATTCGTTCTACATGTGTACTATTCCAGGATTTTTAATGATTTATTGTGACATTAAATTTAACACAAGCACTTATTCCATGTGGCGCCATTTGGTTACCGGAACCCATAAGTTGTATATATGTAGCCGTATGCCTTGAAAGAAGAGGAACTCCAAATGATTCAACAGCTAGATTATACAGGATGCTTCGCTGCAGAATATTCATGGCTATAGTTGGTACCGCTGGTACCGCTACTGTTTTAGAATCAAGAGATTTTATAATTGAAGAATTAGACAGTTAGATATTAGTGAGTATTCTGCGAGGGAATGCATTCTGGTTTAAATTATAACATTCGTTGTAATATTTAACTCGTAATTGTGAATTCAACCTTATTTGAAAAATTCACAATTACAGTTTCAAATCAGGTAGCGTTATGCTATTCCCAGATTACCTTAACCGCTGAGCGGCAGGCGAGTTCGTGTTCCTAAGGTAGCGAAAAGACTATGTAATCATGTATTTAACTATCGTTTTTAAAGTCATTTTAGAGATTTAATATTTTGTTCAACGAGACCAAACCCTACCAAAACCTACTGGTGGTAGGACCTCTTGTAAGTCCTGACGGGTAGGTACCACCACCCCGCCTATTTCTGCAGTGAAGCAGTAATGAGTTTCGGTTTAAAGGGTGGGGCAGCCGTTGTAACTATACTTGAAACCTTAGAACCTATACCTCAAGCTGGGTGGCGCATTTACGTTGTAGATGTCTATGGGCTCCAGTAACAACTTAAGACGCAGTAAAAGCAATAAAAAAAAGCGAGATTTGGATACTTCTAATCCTCTATATAATATAACATGATACATTATCATTAATATATCATGAAATCATTGGAAAACGACTTTATTTTTCTCATAAAACATTTCTTTATGTTTAGGAACACGTATAGCAGGCAACAGCGCTGCTTGGGTAAAGAAAAATCACAAAGTAAAGTGAGTACATTAAACATATTTCGCTTCTCTTATTTTTCATCTTCACTAAGAGGATTATTCTTGGGAATAAAGCTTATTGATTCCTTTGAAACTTTAGATACTGAGGCGTCGTTTTTTCTTACGTAATCAGCTGGAACAAATTGCGTACCATANAGGCGTCGTTTTTTCTTACGTAATCAGCTGGAACAAATTGCGTACCATATTGATTTCGCATATCCAATGCGCGACATCGCCTACGTCAATTTATTTAATATTTTGTTATGCTTATTACAATCTAGTACCATGAAATAGCTATTTAATACATATCACTGATGGTAGGACCCTCTTGGGAGTCCGCACGGGTAGGTACCACCACCCCGCCTGTTTCCGCCGTGAAGCAGTAATGCGTTTCGGTTTGAAGGGTGGAGCAGCAGTTGTAACTATACCTGAGACCTTAGACCTTATGTCTCAAGGTGGGTGGCGCATTTACGTTGTAAATGTCTATGAGCTCCAGTAACCACTTAACACCAGGTGGGCTGTGAGCTCGTCCAGCCAGCTAAGCAATAAAATATATATATTAATACATATGTATATGGCATTGCTTGTAGATGAAAAATCCGAGATTGTCTCATCTTGCTTCCTTTGGGGAAGCGGGTGAACGAATGTTGGACCTTAATTTGCTCTTACAACTTGCGATATAACTTTTAAAGGTACGTCTACACATTTTTTCTACGAGATAACGGAACATACGGCCACGCGCTACCCCCTGATCAAATTCAGCCTACCTGTGAAGAAGCCCTCAGCGGATTAGTTGAACTCATGACAGCCAAACCGAAGCGCGTCAGGTCTAATTTGTTTAGCCCGGCATCAAGAGCAGCAGAAAATCTAATTTTGCTACCGTGTCTGGCTTTCATAATTAATTGTATCATTCAATTTCTTGCAGTCTTTTGATTATGATGCTTTGGAATATTCTCGTTTGTTTTTGATTTTAATAATTTATGGTCTATTTCCTCTATAGTAGAAACAGGAACTAAGAAACAAAAAGCCGAATATACCAGTAATAATTATTGAAGGTAAATTGTAAGGGCTGCGGAGAAAATGAAATAAATTTATATCACAAGATGATATACATAAATACATAAAAAACAAGAATAGTGGAGTTAGTGAACTTGTTCTTATTGGACTGGTGTTTGTCTTGTATGTGTCAGTCCGTCTCGAGCTTCCATATCCATAAAAATCTATGATAGCTTGTCTCTATTGTTGGCTGTTGTATGTAGAACGCTATGCTGTAGTTCTTTTTATGTACTTATGAGTCGTTAGTAAAGTGAATTGTGAAAATAGCTTATCTATAGGTGTTTGAGAGCCTGATTACGAAAGGCCATTATCTAAACTATACACTTGGCATGAGCAACAAGAATTATAAGCAAGTGGCTCCTTAAGCCGCCCATTAGAGTCCCCAAGATACCGCAACTTGGTTGCACGCCAGATGCCAAATGACCGCCACTTGAACTTACTGCCTGCACAATAGCTGCACCTTGGCATATCTTGTGTTTTATGAGGCTTGGTAAGGTTATTGTCAAATTTCATTACGATAATTTCGGTATCACTTCGAGCTATAAGACATTGGAGGTTTGGTTTTTCTTTTTACCGTGAATAGTTCAGAATAGTGACGGCAGTTGCTTATGGACAATAAGGTATAAATATGGATAATGTTCGAATCGTCGTCAACCACCTTTTTTTTTACCACCTAGCTTAGAAGAACTTATAGCTCTGTTTGAAGAAAAACGTCATATTAGTAAGTTCAAGATGAGCATGGAGGAGGCTTCCTTCCAGAGCTCAGTTGTATGCAACAGAAATAATCTCTAGAAATGTAAAAACTTTAAACGAACTCAGTGATTCTAGATAATAAAAAGTCAATTGTGAACATTTGTTGAGTACGTATTTCATTAGAAAAATTGGTACCCACCTGGAATTCGCAAACCGGTGCATCGCTCAACACCGCTCGCACCGGACGTCTTATTCTTTGGGCCACTTAAGCACACTTAAGCAGGCGATTTTAAATACAGTGGACCAAAGACTTCAAATGATCCCTAAAATCAGGATTTTTGATAAACCTCGTAGTGTATTAGATTGTTGAACTAAATTCAGTATCATGTCGCATAGGTATCTCATCAATGCTATCTTTACTGTATCGTCTCGCGATTATTATTTTGCGAAATAGCACAGTTTGTAAAATTGTGTTTTGCAACGTCTTTGGTATTATATTAGCTAAGGAACTTTCTGTACTCATACCAAAACAATGTGGTTTTACGGCATTTCGGATGGTGGGACAAGGAGAGGTGTTTAAAAAAGTCGCAAGGAGGTTTTTGCGGAGTTAAAATATAGGATAAGTACACAAATCGCAGTCATAAGTATGAGTGATGATGGAGAAATAGGATGACATAATAAAATCAAATCCTACTTAGTGTAATGGGATCTATGAACTCATGTTTCAAGGTAGGTGACGGAATTGACTGTAGTGTCCAGTAATCGTGGTATTTAACCACCTATTTCAGCTCGTGCTTAACCACTTCAGCGCCTGCTAAGCCTATGGACATCATTAACGTGAATTCTGCCACTAACCTTGAGACATTAATTCTAGGTTTCAGTTTTATAGTACAACGGCTGCATCAACCATCAAAACAAAAGGCGTTCATAATTACTGCTTCACGGCAGAAACAGGTAAGATTGGTGTTACATACTGGTGCAGGCTAATAAGATACCACCGTTAATTGGATTGCAGACATTTATGAAACCAATTTAGCATAAGATTTCTAAAATTAACGATCCAAAAATTATAGATAAAATTTTAGAAAATACAGGATATGAAAATTTTTTATTGAAAGTGACTGAGAAAAGTAAATCTGTTCTGGTCCTATATTTATATTATTCGTCAACGAAAAGATTTATATCGCTATGGAGTTAAATTGAATTACAGGTAAATTAGACAGCCTTCACGCTTCATCAACATGTAACAGCAATACGTTATTCACTAAATAATTCGATATTACATTAATTATATTGGTTAAAATATACTCATAACTGGAGCACTCCAAACAAAATTAAACATACGAAAAAGTATCACTTCTGAAATAATTGTGGCCATGGAATAATTGTCAAAACAATGTCGAATATATTTGGCAGCACGAAATCTATGTACGTCGTCAAAATTCATTTTGTCCCCAAAAAATGTGTTTATTCTATTTGATTTCGTTTCTCCTCTTCCATCCAAACTATTGCGCGATCAAGAAATACACAAACTACACACTGTATAGAGGTGTCCCAGTCAATAAAAGTCATTTGAATTTCTTCAACAGCTTGAGTGAGATGTTTGACGTTAATTTTTGGACCCCTCCTGGCTCTTTGTACAAACCTATAGATTTTGTTTTGGCTCCGGGAGACAAAAAAGCTTTCCTGAAAATGGCAGAAGAATACGATGTATATTTATCAACGCTCATTGCTGATGTGCAAAGGTTGGTAGTTATGTTTGATTATATTCATTCGTATTTGATCAAACTGAAACGCATTACTGCTTCACGGCAGAAATAAGCAGGGTGGTGGTACCTACCCGTGCGAACTCACAAGAAGTCCTACCACTAGTAATTACGCAAATAATAATTTTGCGCTTTTGATTTTTATTACACGATGTTATTCCTTCACCGTGGAAATCAATCGTGAACATTACATGAAGATAAGTATTTCATTACAAAAATTGGTACCCGCCGGCGGGATTCGAACACCGGTGCATCGCTACAGACGAATGCACCGGACGACTTATCCTTTAGGCCACGACGACTCCACGTAATACAAAACATGTTAGATATTATCTAAATAAAAAAATACTTTGTTTAATCGTAAACAATATACACCGGCAGGGTCTATTTAAATGAGTTTAATTTTGTACAGTTGTTGATACCGGAGGGATTTTTATCTACGACAAACCTAAGAATAGAGTACTGCTCGATGTGTTTTCTTCTTAATAAAGGAATATCTCTTACTAGCTAAATAATCTTACCAAATTAGTGACATTTATTCGACTTACTTAAAACTATGCGGTACATCGTCCACAGATTAGATATAAAAAAATGATAACAACTAGAGGAAAAATAACCAATAAACGTAATCACTGATTAGTCTAGACGACTGCCTATTGTACTTTGAAATGTTGTGCTCGAATGGATTGAAGGAGGATTGAAAATTTTCACAGATTTATCAACGCTTTGGTAGATTCAGTCTTGTATCGTTGAGTAATTAGACCGAGTAACGGATACAGTAGTTTCACTTTTTATAACTTTATTATTAATGTAAAAAATATATTCATTAGTATATCAAGCGAGTCATACGCGAAGGGCTTAAGCATATAAGGATATAATTACTGGTGGTAGGACCTCTTGTAAGTTCACGCGGGTAGGTACCACCACCCAGCCTATTTCTGCCGTAAAGCAGTAATGCGTTTCGGTTTGAAGGGAAGGGCAGCCATTGTAACTATACTTGAGACCTTAGAACTTATATCTCAAGATGGGTGGCGCATTTAGGTTGTGGATGTCTATGAGCTCCAGTAACCACTTAACACCAGGTGCGCTGTGAGCTCGTCCACCGTAAGCAATAAAAAAAATATATATATAAAATAAATTAAAAATAAATATACTAAGAATATTAAGGTGCTTATTACATTTCAGAGCGTTTGATATGCAAAGAGTCAAATCGTACATAAGAAGAAATTTGGGTTCATTCGATTGGAACGATTTTTATAGGATTAATGACATCTATAATTGGTTGAAGGATCTAAAAGATAAATATCCTGAATTCGTGAAAGTAGAAAGTATTGGTACTACCTATGAAAAACGTCCCATTCTCGCTGTGCATGTCACTTTGCCTGGAAGTAAATTGAGGTACTTAGAATAATGTTTTATTTTTGAAGTGAAACTTCTTTACCGACGTAGGGAGGAAAAAACGTATGTAACGTTTTTAGGTTACGCGCCATCTTAATTTCTTCCGTTACGCGCCATGTTTATTTTATTTCTATTTAGTCTGTTATCAACAGATGTTGCTGCACGTAAATTCAACAATTCCTGAATCGCTGTGACGAAATGTTACACAGTTGATAGTCGTCCTCGTATTTTTTTTGCTTAATCATACATACCTGGCGTCGGGATACCGTGAAAATGCAGGCGTTTCCCCCGGGGTGCGACTGCTCCATTGCACTGCGGAGTGTTTGACCCTTGCGATTATTTCTATATTTTATAAGTTTCACTTCTACCGTGTGTGACTTGCACACACACACAATTTTTTTTATACGCGCACACCAGGCGCCTGTGACCAAAAGCTGCCTCGAATGATTTAAGCGGTGGATCTTGTATTCATATTTTTCATTTTTCATTCAAATTGGACTTCGACTTCTGATAGATGCGGTTTGAATCACCAAAACCAAATTTATTAATACAAAAGTAACGAATGTCTAAGCATTTTTAACTTCTTCAGGTCCAAAGTGATTGTCGAAGGTGGTATTCACGCCAGAGAATGGATAGGTCCGTGTTTTGTGACGTACATGCTTCAGCAGATCCTCGACTCGCCGAAATCGAATAACTCGAATTTAAAAGACATTGCGTTGACCTACGAATGGTTCTTTGTGCCCGTTCTCAATCCTGATGGTTACGAGTACACTCACACAAATGTAAGTATCTGTCAGTTTTGGCTGTCAGTTTGTAAAAGTATATTTAGTTTTACGTTCTTTTTTTAAATAGGCTGACATTAATCTATCTATATGGTTACGCTACGCTGAGCATCGATTTAATAGATTGGATTCGTAATACCTACATTTGTTATATTGCCCGTGTAGGCAGACGAGCATACGGCCCACCTGATGGCGAGTGGCTACCGTCGCCCATGGACTTCAGCAATGCCAGGGGCAGAGCCAAACCGCTGCCTACCGAAATTACACGCCAAGTAAAAGTTACGGATTTTGGTTCTTACAACTCTAAATTTCAAGAGTTAAATTGAAGGGCATGGACAAAGCGTTCACGTAAAAATAACGTATATGGATACAGGAGCGAAAAGGTATACGAGGGAATGATCCCTGAAAACTCACAAAGAATTGCCGTAGTTCTAACTAGTAGGTAAGGATACGACTTTAGTAGCGGGAGGTGCGATGTTATAAAGAGGAGACGCGTTTTTGACATTTCGTTAATCTTATGCTTCATTAAAACTTAATGGTTTTTTTTATTGCCTAGATGTGTGGATGAGCTCACAGCCCACCTGGTGTTAAGGGTTACTGGAACCCATAGACATCTACAACGTAAATGCGCCACACACCTTGAGATATAAGTTCTAAGATCTCAGTATAGTTACAACGGCTGCCCCACCCTTCAAACCGAAACGCATTACTGCTTCACGGCAGAAATAGGCTGGGTGGTGGTACCTACCCGTGCGGACTCATAACAGGTCCTACCACCAGTAATTACGCAAATTATAATTTTGCGAGTTTCATTTTTATTACACGATGTTATTCCTTCACCGTGGAAATCAATCGTGAATATTTGTTAAGTACGTATTTCATTAGAAAAATTGGTACCCGCCTGCGGGATTCGAACACCGTTGCATCGCTATATACGAATGCACAGGACGTCTTATCCTTTAGGCCACGACGACTTCAGAAATGCGACTTCAGATATGTGAAACAATTGATACTTTAATCACACAACGGCGGTAGTTTTTTTTATTTTATTTTATTAGTTAAATACCTGTAATATATGTATTGTAAAATCGTTTGTTTTTTCATAATCCAGAACAGACTTTGGCGTAAGAACAGAAATAACGAATACGGAGTTGATTTGAATAGAAACTTCGACCATGCTTTTGGGAGTAAGTGACGATAGATCCTAAGTTTTAATATATATTTTAAGTTTTATATATCCTAAGTTTTGTCTCATCATCATCGTCACCAACAGCCCATAGTCGTCCACTGCTGGACATAGGCCTCTCCCAATCCACACCACTGAGCCCGGTCTGCGGCTCTCCTCATCCACTTCTTGCCGGCCACCGTGCGGAGGTCATCGCACCACCTAGCCAGGGGGCGTCCCACGTTACGTCTTCTTTAAGTTTTGTCTATACCCGCAAAATTATAATTTGCGTAATTACTGGTGGTAGGAGCTCTTGTGAGTCCGCACGGGTAGTTACCACCGCCCTGCCTATTTCTGCCGTGAAGCAGTAATGCGTTTCGGTTTGAAGGGTGGGGCAGTCGTTGTAACTATATACTGAGACCTTAGAACTTATATCTGAAGGTGGGTGGTGCATTTACGTTTTAGATGTCTATGTGCTCCAGTATCCACAAGAGGTGGGCTGTGAGTTCGTCCACCCATATAAGAAACAAAACAATAAAAACTATATATAAATATAATAATGTGGACATATTGGGAGGCCGATCATTTTTTTTTTTTTTTTGCCTAGATGGTTGGACGAGCTCACAGCCCACCTGGTGATAAGTGGTTACCGGAGCCCATAGACATCTACAACGTAAATGCGCCAACCACCTTGAGATATAAGTTCCAAGGTCTCAAGTATAGTTACAACGGCTGCCCCACCCTTCAAACCGAAACGCATTACTACTTCACGGCAGAAACAGGCAGGGTGGTGGTACCTACCCGTGCGGACTCACAAGACGTCCTACCACCAGTATCGGCTGTTGATAAGTGGCTATAATCGAATATATTAAGTGTATAATCTATGGCTATAATGGCCAGTGAGCACCGGCAACGCCAAGGCGACAGCTGGGTCAATACCTATCGAACTCTGGCCACTGTTCACTAATTTGAAGAAAGTAATAGGTACTTTAATTCTATAATCATCATTCTCCTGCTGTTCTCCCAGTCACCAGGTGTCGGCGCAATATGTTTTGTTTTTAACTCCGTGATAACTATTCTAGTTATTATTTCTATTTATTTGCAAACAAATATTTTTAAATGAGGTAGGATACAATTTGCTGTTTTGCAAAACCGCATAACTGTCTTTTATCGAAAAAAAAATATCCTAAGGAAAAAAACCTTATTTAATTTTATTTTTAAACATCTTCGAAATAGAACACGCATTCAAGTGAACTATATTAATTTGATTTTTATACAATAATCTTATTTATGGTGCTGGTCTTATGTATTTTTTTTGTCTTCAGTTCCATTATACTATGGTAGTCCATAGATACCTGAAATTCAAATGTCATGCATATATCTAATGACCTATACAGTAAAATGACCAATATATTAATGCCAGTTTTTTTTTTTTATTATGTGTACATCCCGTCCGCTCGTTGCTAGAATAACCCATTGGAATAGCTACCAGCGAATAAGTAGGGGGAAAAAAAGTGTACAAAAATCGAAGAAAATCTATACTAATATTATAAAGAGGAAAGATTTGTTTGTTTGTTTGTTTCGAATAGGCTCCGAAACTACTGGACCGATTTGAAAAATTATTTTTCCATTAGATTTTTTTTTTATTTTTTTTTTTTTGGTTTCATGTGTGTTTTAATGTTTCCGAAGCGAAGCGAGGGCGGGTCGCTAGTTCTAAATAATCTTGTTTAAGGTCTAAATAATTCTAAGTGCAATTATATTCATAATGCATATCAGTCATGTAATCAAGTAAATTCAATTTGATTCTAATTTATGTTCGGCCGCATGGTGTATGCGAAGCAGATCTCGTCACAGTTATTTGTACGTAAAAAAATTTTTAAAATAGGCGAAGATCATGAGCCGTGCTGGTATAGTGTTGTTTGGTTGAGATTAATGATTACTGCAGTGATTCTCAACCACTGTTCCGCAGCACTTTTGTGTGCCGCCAAATTTCAAAAGTGTGCCGCCAAATTTTGCGAATATATAATTAATAACGTTAATATTATTAAATTATATCATTTTAAAAGAAAAATATTTTAAACATGAATATATATTTAAATCCACAAAAAAAAAATATAGTATATTTTAGTTTATTTCGTATATTAAAATTTTTTGTTAAACTATTTATGCAGTGTGTTGTAATAAGTATATAATTATTTTTATCTTTTTTTTTTGTGTGCCGCCAAATTTTGAAATCGTTAAATATTTGCCGCAACAAAAAAAAGGTTGAGAATCACTGGATTACTGCATAAGTTAGTCGCGCGCCGTCACCGGCTCGTATCACTCTTGTGCTATATACGTAGAAATCTGTTTTCTTTAATATATAAATTTATTTATTATAAAAAAAAAAACCACAATATTCCTAACCTAAAAGTACATGCTATTATCCGCAACATGCTTCGTCTTTAATTATAATTATATAATATTAATATGTTATTAAATTATAATTATATGTTATTAAACCCAATAAAAGTCTTGAATACACGTTCTTCTGTGTTTCGATTCACGGCCCAATAAAAATAATTTTTGAATCTTTTGAATTTCATTTCTTTCTTTCTATCACCAGCCGTCGGAGTCAGTTTTTCCCACTACGAGGATACGTATTGTGGCGCGAAAGCGTTTTCCGAAAAAGAAACAATAGCGATGTCTCATTTCGTGAGAAACCACAGTAAACATCTGGAATACTATTTGGCCTTCCATTCGTACGGGCAAGCCATGATCCTGCCTTACGCGAATACAAGAGCTCACATGGAGAATTTTGATACTGTGGTAAGATTTTATATTCGACTAACTGTACCCGTCCGCTTCGCTGGGCATTTAAAATTAACATTATTATTTCTCACCGCCACAAAGATTCTCGTCACTACCGCCCCCGCAACCGGTGTAGGGAGTCCAACACTCATGTAAATATTAGCCTATCCATTAAGTACATGTATTTTCTACTCGGATACCAAGTTTCAAGTCAATCGGATGCATGGTTCAGTAGTTATAACGGAACATCCGTAAAAACCATTGTAGATTTATATCTTAGTATAGATTACAATTAGCTTCGATATCGACATAATTTGGTGAAAGGTTTCACGCGCTTCATGCTGCGCTGTTGACAATAATATCGCAGTAGGCTTACTGGTGGTAGGACATCTTGTGAGTCCGCATGGGTAGGTACCACCACCTTGCCTATTTCTGCCGTGAAGCAGTAATGCGTTTCGGTTTCAAAGCGAGGCAGCCGTTGTAACTATACTGAGATTTTAGAACTGATATCTCAAGGTGGGTGGCGCATTTACGTTGTAGATGTCGATGGGCTCCAGTAACCACTTAACACCAGGTAGGGGCTGTGAGCTCGTCCACCCATCTAAACAATAAGAAAAAAAATGTGCTTGCTTGATCTTTTATCGTAAAAGTCATTCTCGACTTGGTTTGGCATTTCCAGTAATATTAGACCTACCTTTAACTTAATGATAATATCAAATAGTAAATAAGATTAGTAACGATTTTAAGGTAGAATTTTTACTGAAAATTTATGCAGCCTAAATTATGACATTATCGTAAACTTAATTTTATCTTAAATTCTTATCTGTGCAGGCAGCCATGGCTAAACAAGCAGCAGACCACATAGCTCTCAGATACAATACCAGATACGTGTATGGAACAGCTTATGACACTGTAGGTGAGAATCTGAATTTATTTTAGCGATGATACGTCGTATTCCATTTTTAGGAGAGGACTTTTTTAAATAATTGATCTATAAATTATAGCCACTAACAAAATACTAAGAAACAAAAATTAGCTAGATGAATCTGGATAAAATAATGCTTTCGAAATATGTGTCACTGCACTTCTGAGATCATGAGTTGATCAGAAACAACGCGTGTTTCTAATGCGAATGGAAATCACGCTTTAAGTTTTGCTGTTAGTAAGATGTGGTCACGAATGCTCACGTTGCGTATCCATTAAAAATGCATCTGTTTACATTGATAATGTCATTGGCGAAGGTTGCGAAGTCGTTTGGTAATCTGCCAAGGTAAGTAAATATTCTGTTTTTTATTTGGCGTGTTGCTGTTGTTTGATTATATTATGCGGAGGTCTCTGGAATCAGCATAGGGGCGTTTTGCTGTTGTGTGATTGTATTACACGGAGGTCTCTGGAATCAGCATAACGATATCTAATTTTATAGGTATTCCTTCGTTTGAAGGGTCTTGAAGTTGAATCTCATGTCTGACGGTGGGTGGCGGTAATCCTTTGGTAATAACTTTGGGCTCTGACGATTGAATACCAAATTGGTGAGCCCAAGTGTGTCTATGCAAAAAAAATTCAAAAATTATTAACTACTTCAGGATTGAACTAGAGCACTATTGCACGGCTACGATCGCTTGATTAGGATTGGAATCAATATACAACTAATATTTAAGTGAATCGGACGAATCAATTGCCATTAAAAAATTATAGTAGTTTTATGTATATATTTAAATGTTAAGTTGATAGGAGGAGAAAAAAACGATAAACATGGTATCTTGACCCGTCATTAACTTAGCACTTTAGTCTTCAAGCAGTTTCCTACAATGAATTTCGTGGACAGATTTTGAAACAGATATTGATTTTTTTTCATCATTTTAGGTTACGTGACATCCGGCGTCAGTGGTTGCTGGGTCAAAGAAACATTTAGTGTTCCGTAAGCTATTAACGCATTTAAGATGGTATATTTTGATGATGATATTTATTCCGATTATGTTGGTCAGGACAGTCTCTCGAAGCGCGGTAAAAGAGAGGTGATCAAAACTTGTGTCTGAAGTGGAGAACTCTCTGGGGCGGGTCTCCAAGTGGGTTGAACTGATTCAAATATAAGAAGTTTGCGCGTTCAAAAGGCAATCAAAAATTTTTAAGCCAAAGTATCTGTTAGATAGATAAATAGATGGGTAGATATAAGTTATCAATGTTTGCTAGTCCGTCATCTGTCTGTTTGTTTTTCACCATCTACCACCGTTCTGCCTATTTCGGCTTCAAAACAAATATATGTTTCTCTCTGGGACAACCATTACTCAATCGAAACTATTCTCAAATCTGAGCATATTACAAAGTATGTGGCGGTAATTACGGTATCTCTGTTCGCTCTTATCGTCATATAACATCAAGGTGACCATGAGCAACTCCACTCCTCCCCTTTCTTTAAGTGTCATTGGTATAATTTTCGCAACCAATCTTTGGCTATGGAATCGAAGCCCTGATTATATTTATAGCAGCTCTCTCAGTCATCATACTCGAAGACGTAACTGCTTTGAGTAAAATCCTTTTGTTTAAAAATAATACACCATTAACTTTTTTGACGATACTGTGATCTCGTGTAAAGTGGTTTTTGGTCCTTGACCGTGAATGTCCCAACAATACAAGTTCGAAGTCTTTGTAGATTGGTTGTATTAAATCTCTGAATCCTCTCTCGGTGCTTTTAAGCCCCTCAAGCATCGGTCACCGTTCTCGTCGAAGTCGTTGATTACAAAGGTTTCGACTAGTGAACTAATCCAGAGACACAGCCCACTGAGTTTCTCGCTGGATCTTCTTAGTGGGCCGCGATTCCGATCCGGTGGTAGATTCTGCGAAGCGCTGCTCGTGCTAGGGTTCGTGTTAGCAAATTATGTCAGATTGAGCCTATGAGCTCACCTACCTTTCGGGGCGTGACTGGAATAGCCCTCTAGGCTATCTAATGTATTAAAAATTTTAGATACGTCCTTACATTTGAACTTCCCGACCGAGGGCAATATGGTTTCGCTCTGCCCAATGAGAAGATCACGCCGACTTGTATAGAAACCATGGATGGTGTTTTGTCACTATTGAAACCTCGCACGAAAATTTACGATAAACTAAGACACGAGCACAGGGGTCTCGATGACGGTCAAAGGACGAAGTTCTTGGATAAATTGGTGATCCTTTTTAATGTGTGCCTGTTTGTTATTGTTCGTTTTGATTAAACTATGTTTTTGTACGAAATGTGATTTTTAATGGCTCATTATAATAGTCGCCCAAGTAAGTTTTCTTCAGTAGATACGCACAGATATAGTCGACAGGCAGGAAGAACTAAGCTCTTTTGGACGGCCCACAAACAAGTGAGTTGGGTTGGGAGGATTAACTTGCAACCTTTGCCGCTTATCCAGGACGAGAGGGTGTATTTAAGGGTTCAGTCGGGTGGTAAGAGATTGTTAATAATTGCACGAGCACCCTTGAAGGATGAGTAACGGCTCCAAGCTACCCTGCGAGTGTTTCTACCACCAGATTAGAATCAAGATCCACTAAGAAGTCATGGTTGTCTAAAGAAGAAAAGTCCTTTCATAAAAAACTCCACTCTACCTTACCTTGGACTACTCCGCATTTAATTTCGGATACCATACACTACAAGTAACATTACGTCCAAATAAGACAATCTGCAACACGATTTAACCATTAGAATTTTTAAATTAGACAACATAAATATACATAATATTATGTTCTAACACAGACATCTTTCTGTCGTGAGCAATGCGTTTTAGTTCAAAGGATGGGATAGTCATTCTTACTATGTAGCCGAGGCTTGGATAAATCTTTAAGGTCTATTGTGGTCTATTCTCTCCGGAAGCTGTTTAACATTAGCTAGGCCGTGAATTTTCTATCAGAGGGCGGTGATTTGGTTGTGCCCTTATGTTTGTTATTATATTTGTATCGTGACAAAGACCACCTGGTTGTTAGTGGTATTTGATAAGGTTGACACTCGAATCACGAACTAACAATATTATGCATGCGAATCGAAAACAATATGAACAATAAAATCTCCATAGGGCAAATTAAAATGGTATGTTTGTATGTATCGCAGTATGGTAGCCTGCCCTCGATATGAATACCCTTGTTTGGAATAAAGAAATATCGCTCGAAGAACATTGAGAGTATCTAAACAAATTTACACTTATTGGGCAAGCAGTTCGAAAAACTAAATGAGTAATCTGGTCTGGTAGCGAGTGGTCTCCAAACATAAACTATAACCAATCTTGTCTTCATCGTATTTTGATTACTGCAGTCCTAATTTCCAAATAGCCTTGTAGAATTTTGCCAAGGTGAAGTCTGGGTTATTTTTTTACTCTATGTTGCTCAGAAGAGAAAAAGAAATTAATGTAGAAACAGTTTATGAACACTCCAACAAATGTAGGTCAAAACGAAGCGCTCAACTAAATACTCTGTTGTCTTGCTTTGTACTGCTTCCAAGAATTGAGGAGGTCGACTCAAGTATGAGGGCCACTACGTTCTTGGCAAGATTTCAGCCTTTTCTTTGAAATTTTCATTTTGTTTCATGCATGAGATTCGCACAATTTACTTACATGCATCTTGTTTTTTACTGTAGATCTTTGGTGAGTCTATAATAATAAGTAGCTTATTGACTTGTACACCTACGTACTGTAAAAGCTTTTATCAAATATGGCAGTGACACACACGCCCTAAATATGATACGTTCTTTGCAGAATTTCTTATCTCAAATAGACATATTAATTTAATTCCTTTTCTTTAACAGCCGCCATTATCGATTGATTACATGCATACTTTGTAGATCGGTAAAATTTTCTTATCAACATCATTATGTTTGAGTCTTTATTAATTTGTGTTTAGTATGTGCTTCTTGTAAATTTTATATATTTACTTTAAAAATAAGTGAATTTAATTTATACCGAAAAGCATATTAATATATATATATATTTTTTTTTAATATTTGCGTCCACATTTTAGAAACTTGAGGAAAATATATTCACCCCTTCATAAATAAAGTACATGAAAAATTGTATTTTGATTTTATAGGTCTTGTTTATTGCAATCTACTTAAAAAAAACCTTGGAACTAAAAACTTTTCAATGTACTCTTCATTTTGATTTGTGGTAGTCCTTATATCTGTGATACTGTTACGACGGTAACAGCAACGCCATTTATCGCTGAATAGCAGAAACGCATATCAAAGTTATTAGTAACACCGAGAACGCTCGAGAAGTACAACGCCATCTATTGTCAGATAGCGGAAACACACATCGAAGCTAGTCGACTTGCCCAGAATGTTCTCGATAAATCTAGGGATGTCGTATCGACTATAAAGCGCTGCAGAGATGGCACGAACTTAGTAACTGATCAGATCTACTCGAAGCGAAACAGCAAACGGATCACCTGAAGCGAAGCCGAAGAAGCGAATTGAGAATTTTAAAGTGTTCGTTAAGTGTTCTAAGTTTTGAATACAGTTTTTATTCCGAATCCCAGCGCGTAACTATACTATCTTATCTATGTAAGCAATGGACGTACATAATATAGGTATGCATACGTAATAAAGACCGATAACAATACAATATTTTAACTAACTCTGCCTAATATCCTGATTAGAATCAACAGGATTAAATTGACTTGCGGTATTGACAAATCTTTTATGTTTTTGCACTTATTCCTCTTCTTGTTCTTATAAATAAATAAAAGTAAAAAAGCCTTTTATTTCGTACAAGTGACATAAAAAAATGACATAAAAACAAAAATAAATTAATGCAATTCTTAACTAATAAATAATATATTTGTTGAATAATATTAGGTATTATTTCCCACTTGCAAAATCCCCTCCTCGGGTAAAGGCCTCCTCCAAGGATAGCCAATCTTCTCTGGATTGCGCAATTTTAACCCAGTTTGTAGCTGCTACTTTCTACTTCTAGTTCTTATTCCACATCATATAGAGTCGGAGCATCATGCCTCTTGGCATACTGCGTAGGGATTTGGCGTAAGGCTTACGACTGGCAGCCAGCATGTCGTCAACCCTCCTGACGATGTATCTCCAGCGGTATATCCATTGCAACGTGTCATAGACTGAGACTCTGCTGTTTCTTCTTTCGGTTTTTCTTTTACTTCGTCCGTTCTTGGTTCCGTGGTTTATATTTTATTATTATTATAAATATTAACACGAAATTTTAGATTCGTTTATTTCTATTTCAATCATATTCGCCATTATATTTACTATCAGGCTTCACAGCGCACCACGATTTCGATTTCAACTCGAAATCAGTATCCTTGTGCTAAATATTTAAGGTTCTAGATTATTCCTCTAAAGTCGTCGTGGCCTAAAGGATAAAATGTCCGGTGCATTCGTATGTAGCGATGCATCGGTGTTCGAATCCCACAGGCGGGCGGGTCTTGCGAGTCCGCACGGGCAAGTACCACCACCCTGCCTATTTCTGCCACGAAGCAGTAATGCGTTTCGGTTTGAAGGGTGGGGCAGCCGTTGTGAGAACTTAGAACTCATATCTCAAAATGGGTGGCGGCATTTACTTGGTAGATGTCTATGGCACCCAGTAACCACTTAACACCAGATGGTCTGTGAGCTCGTCCACACATCTAAGCAATAAAAATAAATAAAAAATCCTACCTACCTTGGAACGTGTAACGTCTACATTATTCGCCCAAAAATGAATTATTTCCAAAATAAGTAAGTTAAATTAAAACTCTACACGCTTTTGGCGTGTTCCGTGCTGCCCCTAGTCTGAAGAAGCGAGATGACTCGCACTTGAGGGCCACTCCGGACTTGGCAAGAATTCTGCTGTGTCTTTAAATTGTCCGCTTAATCTAAAAGTGTTTGCCAGAGATTGTTAATGTTAATAAGATTTATTATTTTAACACGACCTTATCTATATGACGGGTACTTTCAACTTTATTTTTATAAGCCTCGAGACCATTAACTGGGAAATTGGCACGAACATGTCAAGGACCGACCACAAAACAGTAAATTTGATATTTCGAACTCTGATACTGACCGAGAAAAAAGCATATTTTATTTTTAATTAGTTTATTTTATTTAGGATTTATTACATAATATTATCTATACTAATATTATAAAGAGGAAAGATTTGTTTGTTTGTTTGTTTCGAATAGGCTCCGAAACTACTGGACCGATTTGAAAAATTATTTTTCCATTAGAAGCCGACATTGTCCCTGATGAACATAGGCTACTTTTTTTTATTTATTTTTTATTTTTATTTTTTGGTTTCATGTGTGTTTTAATGTTTCCGAAGCGAAGCGAGGGCGGGTCGCTAGTAGCTCTATAAATCTATAAAAAAGTGAACAAGTTGTCGGTCCACCTAATGCAAATTGGTTGACGGGGCACAGTAATATTAGTAGCGATTTCTGGAAATCATTTGTGAAATTCGGTTAAATTTTGAATTGTGGTATGTTACAGATGCAATACGGTGTCTGCATTGTTTCTGACCTTAAATAAGTTCGTCGTCTCATTATTATAGTATTTTTGATTGTATCCGATGGCAATCAATGTAAGCATTACGAGTTCGTTGGATTTAATAAAAACGAATTTCCAACTAAATGTTAATGGATCATTAATATTAGCGCAAAATACTGCGGGCTCTAATAAAATGAAAATACAGTGAAAAGTCAACTTTAGCTCTTTCCTGTTAAGTTCCTTATCCAAAAACTACAAGCAGGGGAATAACATCCATTAAAAAAGAACCGTTCCGTCCCGGTGTTTTTCCGAGTACTTATATTAGCACAACAGGTCACATTAAACTGGTCTTTGCTCCTGATATAAATGACATGGAGTCACGTGATACAGTAATTTGTCGTGGCTTCCAAACGATTGGTCGGCTCATTAGTCATATTACCACCTTTTGATAACATCATTTCGGTATTCGTTAGTGAATTTATTCCCTACCGCAGGGAAGGGCCGGTAATTTTTCATGTGTAATTCAACGAGAGTGAATTTTGTCATTTTTCCTAATTGTAAAACTGGAATGACAGATTCACGTACAGATCATTCATTCAGGAATGAAGAAAATTTTCGATAAGAGGATATAAACAAATAAACATTCCACATTGAAAGAACCCCAATCTGTGGAAGCCGAAAACACATGAAAGAACCAGAGCGCTCAGAAACCGAATACCTACCTACTAATGATTTTTCACCAAGACACAGATGGCTCCGACCAAGTTACCGTATGGTCGGTCACCTCTTCGCGATTGACGTCATCAAATGATCATAAAAGTCGGTATATAGGAGACTGTAACGGCCCTACAGTTAATAAATATTTTGATAGTTTGATGGCATGTAAGTACACAGTAATAAAAGCTCTGAAATTGCACATAGCCCGTAGGATTAGCAGCTGAAGTAGCAGTGGGCAGGTCACACAGCGTAAAACCGGGCAGTGGGGCAGAAAGATTCTTGTGTGGAGACCAAATACTGGCAAGAATCGTGTAATAAAAATGAAACCCACAAAATTATAATTTGCATAATTACTGGTAGTAGGACCTCTTGTGAGTCCGCGCGGGTGGGTACCACCACCCTGCCTATTTCTGCCGTGAAGCAGTAATGCGTTTCGGTTTGAAGGGTGGGGCTGTCGTACGCCACCCACCTTGAGATATAAGTTCTAAGGCCTCAGTATAGTTACAACGGCTGCCCCACCCTTCAAACCGAAATGCATTACTGCTTCACGGCAAAAATAAGCAGGGCGGTGGTACCTATCCGTCCGGACTCACAATAGGTCTTATCCTCGATTACCGATAAAAATAGTTCGTTTTATTTATTGAAAAATTGAGAGCATTCCAATGAAAGTCAAAGCAGCTCTTAACCAATTTCGATTAAATGGTCTGTTCGGATTTCAAACATCTACATATTAAACACACAAACAGAAATAGCTGATGATCGTATTTTCAGTAATATAACAGGATTCCTTTGTGTACCCGTAGTGCGGTCACGGTCTGGCTTCACTCCAGCATTTACGATTAATTAATTGGGACATTGGTACATTCCCGGACTCGGTTGTTCAGTAAGTAGTTCCGAGAAATTTTAACTTGGTTTAACGGTCTTTAACTATTCGACGGAAGTGGATTAATTGTGTATGCTATTCGGAATATAATAATGTATAGGGCTTTTCAATAGGTACGCTCAAACTTTGACAGCTCATAGCGGCCATCTTGGTTAAGTGGTGGTAAAGTAGTCATCTCGGTGACATTCTATCATGGAACGCTACACGGTCGTCCGGCGGTCTCATCGGCCATTATTTTTTTGAAGAGGCGCAAAGAGCCGCACTCATTGTCAATGGTGACCGATATTGTTCGATGATAATCAACTTTTTGTGGCCTAGAATAGATGGTATGGATCTCACAAACATGTGGTTCTGCCAAGACGGTGCCACTTGCCATACAGAACTCTCGTCGCGTTGTTTTCCTCATTACTGAGGGTCGTAACTCCCCCGCTGCGTCAGTTTCTCCCATACGGTTTCTCTCCATCTGCTAGCATACAGCACGGGAAACATTAGAATTTACTGGATGAGAAATTCGAAGGCGTGTGACTTAACACCGCTCGAGGTGGAGCTACTTGAAATTTCTAGTCTATGCAGACAGACTACTGTCTATTGCCGCCCTAAGGGCCAATTCGCGCCCTTCGTGAAATAAGATCCCATTTATGCGAAGATTTCATACAAAATCGGTCCACAAGGATAGACCACCTACAACGGAGTCGCGGCGGCCATTGGGCTGAAATTATCTCTATATATAAAAATGAATTGCTGTTCGTTAGTCTCGCTAAAACTCGAGAACGACTGTACCGATTTGGCTAATTTTGGTCTTGAATTATTCGTGGAAGTCCAGGGAAGGTTTAAAAGGTGAGAAAATATAAAAAAAGCTCGGAATTATATAAAAACAAACAATTTTGTTTTTCCTTTGATATGTCCCCTTGATGTGTCTTTTATTTATCGATTAAAGCACTACGAAGTCTGCGGATCAGATAGTATTCCATGAATATTGTCATCAAATACCTTGAAAATAAAATAAAAATTGTGGCAATATCACATAAAACGGATTTTTTTTATTTTGAAGTTCCATCGCTAGTAATAAAGAACCTCTAATATTTTACTTCTAATAATAGAAATTACAGTAATGAAGTTTCTGTACAAGAAGTTGTTTACTGCCTTCCTTATGAAAAATGGCAATGGTATATTTGAAAAAAAATTCTCTGTCCAATGAAATATCTCCATAAATCAGTGCTTACAGGTACAGTCAACATAAAGTTCCATTAAGGCTATAATATAAGTACAGATCATATGATAAGATTTAACAATTTTAGTGGTAATAAAAAAAAAGTGGTCTAGCTTTTAATCAGACTTTTCGATTAAGTTTTATAGTTTTCTTGAACGAAATTGCAGTTTTTTTTTTTATTGCTTAGATGTGTGGACGAGCTCACAGCCCACCTGGTGTTAAGTGGTTACTGGAGCCCATAGACATCTACAACGTAAATGCGCCACCCACCTTGAGATATAAGTTCTAAGGTCTCAATTATAGTTACAACGGCTGCCCCACCCTTCAAACCGAAACGCATTCCTGCTTCACGGCAGAAATAGGCAGGGTGGTGGTACCTACCCGTGCGGACTCACAAGAGGTCCTACCACCAGTAATCACAAGAGGTCCTACCACCAGTAAAAGTTGCAGTTGTTTACTTGTACAAAATTTGAAATGGCCACCATTTCAAAATGCCTGTTAATTAAATAAGTAGACACCCAATCAAAGTTGGCAAACACCAATCTCGTTATAAATAATATTTATCTGAGGCAATTATTAATTTCGTAACACTTCGAAACATTTTAATTGAGTCGCGTAAACTTTATAAAGTTTATATATTTTTTTTAAATTAATATATTTTTATTCTTGACTTGGAGCGGAGTTTATATTTTGAGAAAATTAATTGAATCTACGATAAATATTACACTAGAAAGAAAAGTTTTTCAAGTATACTTTTGAACTGTGTCTAGAGAAAGAACGTTAAGGTTAGAATATCAATTTAGGCAGGCGGCTTTAACTTAATTCAACTAAGTAATTAATATTTGTGATCAAAATAAATGTTGAATATCGGACAAAAATCTTATACCTTTAAACGAGCAATTCTTGTATATTATATATGTCGCCGCAACGATTTTTAGAATGTCGCCGCAACGATTTTTAGAATGTCGCCGCAACGATTTTTAGAAACTTGATTTTAAGTTTATTCATTATAAAATTATTGTTTAAATTATTTAATGACGATTTGTTGATTTGTGAACAATGTCGCAATGTCAATGTCGTTAATAATTAGGCGATGTTTTACTACGAGGCCGNGTGTGCAAGTGTTGAGGGGGTGTGTTGGAGTTTGTATATTAAATGTAATGGCAGGCAACACTTGACACTTGATTAGATTTCGAATATTGGAATTATTTTAAATGTTTTAAAAAACAGATCATTGTATTCTCGTAAGAAAATGTCAGTGACTTCTCATCTAGACACGGCAAGACAAACATGTAATAGTTTTATTAAAAAATATAAAGATATTGTATAATGGTGTAAAAGTGCTCAAGCAATCTGGAATATAATTATAATGAAGCAGTTGTGTTTTTAAATAGCCCCTCATCACCTACAGAACCCAATCCCTTCAAAAGATAACCGTCCAACAATATGGTTTACATTTGGTCGAGTTAGAGCATGAAGTGTCAAAATATGACATCTTTTAAAGTGCGTTCGTCTCATAGACCTAGGTTTCATACTTCAGTGGTTCGTCTCATCTTGTAAATTCATTTCAAAATGTGCATAAACGGTATAGTATTTGTGTGTAAATTAACAGTACATAGTAGGAGTACGTAAATGTATTTTTCATAGGTTTTATACATTTTAACAACTAAAACTCTTTACCACCAAATAGTATTTTGAGCAAAGTGACGTAAACAAATTCTTTTGTTCCTTCTGTCAGTTGGTGTCTTAAATTTTGATGTGTACTTTTATTATGTGAATAAAAATAATAAAAATACGATATCCAGTGGACAAAATGCCATTGGAGGAAGTGATCTGCGTTTATTTGGACCGTGCTTTGCAGACCACAATTCAATTATTCCTATCGCATTATTGTCCACGGATATCCAACTATTTACTTCAAGTGCCGTCTCTAAGAAAATTAAATACAATAAAACTCAGATGTTTTTCGCTTCTGGATAAATAAATTAGAGAAAAATCATCAAAAATGAACGCACCTAATTTCAATTTTCGCGGGTTCAGAATGTCAACAAAGAACATGGCTGTGGAAATTCTATTTGAAAACTCTGATTATTTAATCGTGAACAAGCCTTATGACATGTATATCAATTCTGATGACGAAAACGAAAAGGTAAATTTGTTATTAATCTTATTCTGTTATGAATTTAAGTAATACTAAAAGTTTGGTTATGATAAAGATGCTTAGCCATAATTGCCTAAAAACAATAGGATGTCATCTCATACAGCCAAGCCAATGGCTACTTTAATCTCTAATAATAATCTCTAATAAATAATCTTAATCTTTAATCTTATAACATAAATCAATTTTTTTTTTCCAGTTAGACACCGAAATAGATAAAAAAAGTCATTAATCAGCATCCAAGTCTAATCTGAGTGCCTTGTCCTTTCGTATCAATGGTATATATATAATTGATAATTGTATGCATTCAACACTGACAATATATACACTTACTGACATATAATATGACATAGTTTATGCCGCCCATATTCATTGATAAACTAATTATTTTCTTTAAAGTTAAGAGAAACGAGTTGGTATTTCAGAACACAGTGGCTTACCAAATAGCGCGTTGCGATTCTCATCTGTCAACGTCATCGCAACCTTTACATTTCGTCCAACGATTGGACTACGCCACGAGCGGCGTGCTCTGCATGGCCAAGAGTCGGCCAGCTGCGGCCAGCGCTGGCAAAGCGTTCGAAAAGAGATTGACCAGGAAATACTACCTGGCGATCGTCCGCGGACATGTTGGCTTTGAGCTGGCCGATGTTGATTATGGCGTTGGTAAGTTTATGGTGTTTTTAGCGACCATTAAATATTCTTCAAGTCACATTTTGTTAGTACTGGGCCAATCTTGCGTCATGTAACATAATATTGTAGTTTCGTTGCAATGAAAATTAAATGATACCACCAATTAACTACAATTTTATATTTAATGAAACAGCGATCAAATACAGATGTTAATAGTGGAAGACCCTAGCGTATGTCTGTCTCGAACTCAACCGAATGAAAGCATTTTGCGAGTACTGTCGAATATTATAGTACGATGCTCCAGCGCAGGGCCGCACTCGGGCTCGCCACAATATGAGAAATCATTAGATTGAAATTGACAAAAAATTGCATTTAAAAATAACATGATGGATCATGGGAGTCCCGTTTGGAAAGAGCTGTCTTTTTATCAAAAGGATATCCTTGTTAAAAAACTTCCATTAAACATGATAGGAAAGCCGCGGGCGGGTATCAGTTAGTGAATATTAAATTATATAAAAAAAAAATTATTGTTAAATAAATCCAATAGAAAGCGGTAGCGAGGGAGATGGAGAAAAGCATCAAGGCACCCCTGCTTTTATGTGACGATATTGATCAGTTATCTCCACTTTGCTTAGTTTAGAGATGGGTAGTTAATGATCTCATGATCGACCAGGTGTCCCCAAACGCCGCCACCCACCTTGAGACTTGCTGTCTCAAACGTCTAGTACGAGTAGATACGAGGAGATACCCGTAGATACTCCTGATGCCTTAATATTTTGGACCGTGACACTTTCAATTATTTATTTATTATTGCAGTGTAGCTAGCAAGAATCTTACGACTCCAAAGTCTATGTTTACTAAACTAACTATGTTCCACTTAAGATCCATACAAGGGTATGATCACTCACCTTCCAGATTCATCACCAGACTATATTATTGTTTTATTGGCGTGATAACGTCTTATCACTCGATGAACACCGGCACGCACATAAAAATGTCACGTTCCGCCTGAGCCTGAGCGTACAAGCGAGAGGGCCAATCGTTGACTTGTGACACATTTATCTCTCTTCTCGCGTGACGTAAGAGGTAGCAATTCGAAAGGTCTGCTACTGACGTTATCACGTAAATCTATCGTCCGTAAGCCGGCTATACAGACAACGAATAAATTTTTTTTAATCCACTTATCGTGAAAATGAAAACCCAAGTCAAACAAGCTGCAAGACCACAAGATACTTCCGTTCTTTCTGTGTGCAAAGAAACGTATCAATCGTTCTTTTTTTTTTATAAATGATGCATACATATTTTCATCATAAAAATTATCGCATTGACAGGCGCAGACCCTGAAACCCTGCACTCGAATCACAAGATGCTGGCGCGAACATCTTCATCTCAGACGATACAAGTTCGCAGCGCTCAGACCAGGATGCTGCTCTTGGAGACGGGCTGGTACCAACGGAGTCCTGTGTCTGTACTCCTACTGAAGCCTATAACTGGTTTGTCTCTGGGGTCTCTCAAAAAGCTGGATAAACTAGTCGCAATGGCTATCAGAAGTTTGTCTATGTGAATTTTACATTTACCCGGTCCCCCAGCCATTGGAGTAGAGTTCATCCGTACTACCTCGAGCCACTGCGTTCATCTACATTGCGTTTCCAGATATGTTTTGCCACCTACCATCCGGCTTTGAAATTAATGTCCTGGTATACACAATGGTAAGCAGCGGCTTGGCTCTACCCCTGGCATTGCTGATGTCAATGAGCGACGGTAACTATTTACCTTTAAGTAGTCCGTATGCTCGTCTGCCTACAGGATATTGCTTAACATTACAGTATTGTGCCTCCGACCGTAGTAGTATGTATTAACACAGCAGAGTACGGCTTGGTGTTGACTATGCCATCAAACCCTAAAATGAAATTCCTAATCCTCTTCATAAACTTCATATAATGAATGACTTGTATGACAAGATATACTTACATTATGGGATTTAGCGCTAATTTCCACTGTTTGGTGTTTGTGGAAAGGTCGTCGCCATCAGCTGAGGGTCCACTGTAACGCAATAGGCCACACTATACTGGGCGATTATACTTACAGCGACAGGTCGGACTGTTCTCCACACCGCATGTTTCTCCACGCTTCCAGGTAATCCCACAAGGCATGATCCTTGGAAGAGCTTAGCATTTTTTTAGTGTAAGGTTCCAAGGAGAGGAAACTTGGTAAAATTGTTCTGGCTGCACAATAATGGTTGGAGTCCAGTCAAATTCTGTTGGGGCAACATATTTGGTATAGTGGCTCTGCGGTCCGGGTAGCATTTTTGTCTCCACCACCAGGAATCTCAATTCGTCCCCTTACTCCATTACTACATGACTTCGAGATCTTTTTAACATAATTTCGCTAGTGATGTATCGGCCAAAAGTAATAGACGTATTCTGAGCACCGCAGGGTCATCTTTCATCCTTTTGTAGTGTGCAACACTGGCACACCAAGTCGCACTCGGGCGTCATCGGGCGCGATCGAGATTCCCGAAGGCGCAGGTGTCACCTGACGCCACAGTAACAATATATTCGCGTGCCGATTTAAGTACAACATAAAATCGAAATTTTAGTATAATTTGTATCGTCTAGTCACAGTCTAGGGCCTAGCATCGTTTTCTCCTTTTTGTTTATATTTAATATTGTACTTATACACCTAAAACAGTATGCGGTCGTCGTCCTCGTCGAACTTGTCGCTTGCGACGAAGGGCTCGACTCAAACCGGAGGTGTTGATAACACTAGCCCTAGCAAAAGCAGTGCTTCGCAGAATCTACTACCGGATCCGGAAACGCGATCCACTGAGAATATCCTGCGAGAAACTCAATGGGCTGTATCTGTGGGTTAAACGCTTGTCAAAAAAGTCAGTTATTGATGAAAGAAATACTGTTTAGAGATGAAACATAGAATAAGGTTTCGGTTGATGCCTATTTACTAGTCCGTATTGCCTTGCAGGCTAGTTTTACCGGTCGACAAGGAAGTTATCGACGTTCAAACCAAAACCCCTTACTTTTCCGATGAAGGCTTCCTCCAGCACTGGAAGTCTGATCGGGTAGCGTACCCTTACAAAACCAAAGGCGACTTCAATGATGTATGTGACGTGATCGATAAGTCATATGTGCTGGGCGTCAACTATAAAATGTATAATTGCACCAATTAAATTATTTCTATCTTTGATGTTTTTCATTTACGATTCTGAGGCTTCCATAAGAAATCTATCGGTACTGAATTTAGATCGTTGTGGAGGTGAACATTCCTGTCGTACCACGGTGCTCCGACGGCTATCCTGCAGAAACGGGATTGGATGACCTGGAGAGAGTTAATGTGTGTACTGGCCGCGTGAGCGAACACTACACTTGCATAGATCATGACGGAATATATGCAAGTTGTGTAGAGTGTCACCTTGTTATTAAGGGACAATTTATTTCGCTTGAAGATCATAGGGCAGAGTTGACCTTTTTTTTCCTACTTATTCTGATAGCCTTGAGAGGCTATAAAGCCTCGTACGAATTTTGCGTTCCAAAGAACGCGTACCCAAGCCACGCGTATAAAAAGGTACGCGTACCCGTTTATAAAGCGTCACGAGTCAACTACGCTTACAGTAGTACAACAGTGCGAACCGAAAGAATCCAGTGCACGCGCGACCCTTGTGTAATGCTGACGACATAGATTATACACTGAATATATTCGAGGCTGACGAAGAGAATGGCTACGGCGTTTGCCGCGTTTTTAAAGAAAAAGAAGAAATCGCGATACTTCATTTTTGTTGAAATATTTCTCCACGCATCTTTACGTAATGATGTATTTCTATAATTAAACGATTTCGTATTCCATAATAAAGATTTTGATTCATATAACTGAATTGTTTTATAGAGATTTCATTATTGAAACACGGGAACGCATATCTTGCCATTGTGCCGTCCAAATAAAACATGACAACTTCTTTGACTCGCGACTAAATACCGACTGCGAATGGATTGGTACGCTTACAGCGCATGTACACGCGTAGCAACACATCCGGATTGTGCGTTCCAGGATATGCGTAACCAAGCTACGCGTACCCTGGAACGCAAAGTCCGTACGAGGCTTTACAGCTGTAGCTTGTAGATGAGCTCACGGAGCTCTGTCTCTCTGTCTATGAGTTAATTTACTCGTCGTGCCCTTCGTTGCAATCGACGGGTCCGGCAAAGACGGTGACAGGTGCTTGAAGTACCCAGAAGCACCGTTAATTGATCGGGAGGATCCGTAATGACGTGTTTAGAGCGACGTTGACTGTTTACTATTCGGTACACAAGATCGGGTATGTAATTTCCGGCGGCCACGACAAGAGGATTTTCATGTCATACCGCCTTTTCAAAGTGGCGCAATGATGCCGTTTGTAAATACTTATTGAGCAGTCGACCGAGTAGGAACGCGGCTCGATCGCGTACTGACTTAATGTGGACCCCGAATGTCAGCCCTTGTCGAGAGTGACGCCTAAATATCGCCTTCGAAGCCCACGGTATGGGCTTGCCAAAGATTTATAAGGGAGGAATGCAAAATTTTCACCTAGATCCAGCAGTGAACGTTTGTGGACTGAAAAATAGATTGATTTGGTTACCGCGCCTAACACGACGCTAGAGAGAATCCCGTCAATAAATTAAATCGATTCATTCTCCGAAGGCCGTTAAAAATTGATCCTGAGTCCCGGAAAATCAATATCTAAAAAAATTGTTACAAATTTTAAATGTATTTCGCGGAAATGTAACTTTTTGGATTGGCTTAAAAGACTAGAGTCCAAGCCGTTACGTTTATTAAAAAAATTGATTTGCAAATGGCGTTGGCGTTCATACTTGGGTGTGATATGTGATTTACTTTAATTAATGTGATTTATCAGAAATATTTTACAATATATATGTATAAATAGGCTTTATCTTCTTAGTTAGTAATTGCTACTGCAAGGACGTTTATAAATAGATTATACTGTGATTATATGATGTGTGATTTGTGAGTGTTAAAATGACGCAGTTTTTGCCACCAAATTTATTGGCTTTATTTGCCGCCCGGGACCCCATTCCGTATCTGCCACCGGCCGCGAAGCTTCCGCACGAAAAAAAACAAAAAGGATACGATGGAGTCGGCGCTTTCCTTAGCTGCTTTGAGGTTAGACACCATTTTAGTAATATTTTCCTTTGTCAAAAAAAAATCGTATACAAAAATAATCAATATGCCGAGGCCTCTATAAAATTCTAACGCTGATAGTTTACGGTCTGTGTTACTTTATTCCAACCAAAGAAATTTGTAATAAAATGATGACGACCAGACATCAGTGTAGAATGTACTAGAATGTTAGTGAGCGTGGTGGTTCCTTCATATCATCATTAAATTAAATTTGGAAATGCGGTTCGTCATAGATTCAAAATTTTCTATATTGCTAGAGATATTTGCTTGTATTAAGTAATGTCTTGTACTAATCATTCACCGTCGACGCTCTAGACTTGTTCTTACGAAAAGGCACAGCCATTCTCACAGCTGTGGGACGCTATTGGTACCAGCTACTATAGCACAATTCCCAGAATTAGCCAGAATTCGGTGTAAAACTTCGCAGTCGGTTGTGATTCCTCTCCGAAGGTAGATGCACTCACAAAGCAGCTGTCTTTAATTCATTTGAGTTTCCCTTAGGATAACTCTTAGTTTGGTCAAGCTCTTGAGTGTGCCTATCCATCCTACTGAACATCTGTTCTATAGAATGGTTGCAATTGTTTCATTCCAAAAAAATCTCTTCCTCTTTCTTTCCTATTACCTTCTGCTGGGGTTTAGGGCTCGAATCAAATCCTTCCATTTACATCAGCCTTGGGCAGTCTATTTTAACTCCTCTCACATCATTCTTAAGACGCCCAGCTCCTGCTTCACTGAGCGACGCTAATTTGTTCTGGGATGGCCTCTCTTCCTTTTGCCAGATGCTTTCCAGGTCAGTGCTCTCTTGGATAGGTGGGTATCAGGCTTTCTTAATATGTGAACAATCCAATACCACTTCCGCGTAAGGATCTCCTTCTTCATTGGTGTCTACTTGGTGATCCGCCACAGCTCTTTGTTCATGATCAGCTCAGGCAAAAAGATACTGTACTTACTGACCAGACTGTACTCTACTATACTTACGATGACAAGTATTGCTATACACACCTCATCTCTATTCCTGGTTGTTACAATGATTTATAAATGACAATATTGTTTTCATTGATTGATTGTTTTTTTTTTCCTACCTATGCTGATAGCCTTGAGAAGCTATTTCAGCTTCACCCTAACGTGTAGGTAAGCCCACAGGTCTCAAACTGTGAATGTTGTTAACACTGGCCCTGGCAAGAGTAATGCTTTGCAGAATCTACCACCAGATCGGAAACGCGACCCACTGAGAAGATCCGTAGAGAAACTCAGTGGGCTATTGATTGATAAAGAAGAGTATACTAGTGGTAGGACCTCTTGTACGCATGGGTAGGTACCTCCACCCCGCCTATTTCTGCCGTGAAGCAGTAAGTAATCTGTTTCGGTTTGAGTGGTGGGGCAGCTGTTGTAAATAAAAGTCGCTCAAGAAAATAAATTATGACAGGGTAGGCTTTTCAATCTTCGCGGAAGCTTCAATCTCGGCGTGCCGTGCTCGAGGCGTGGTCTCGCCGCCTGGCGGACCCCGCCTATGGGCGACGGACCGTCGAGGTGATCCGCCCGGTCCTCTCGGACTGGGTGAATCGCGACCGAGGACGTCTCACTTTCTGAGCGACGCAGGTGCTCACCGCGTCGCCCGGAGGGAGCCGACGCCAAAGTGCCACCACTGCAGTGACTGCAACGAGGACACGGCGGAGCACACGCTCGCGTACTGCCCGTACTGCACCGCGTCCTCGTTGCAAAAATAGGACCGGACTTGTCGCTTCCGACCGTCGTGGCTACGATGCTCGGTATCGACGAGTCCTGGCAGGCGATGCTCGACTTCTGCAAGTCCAACATCTCGCAGAAAGAGGCGGTGGAACGGGAAAGGGAGAACTCTTCCTCCCTCTCGGCGCTGTGCCGCCGCCGCTGAGCCGGTGGTCGGCGTTTGTCCAGCTCTGGCCCCTATGAAGAGGCAGTCTCTTCCCGGTGATGGTCACGGGGCGACCTAAGGGGTTGAGGCTGCGCCGCACTCTACCGTCACTAGCGTGCTGGCACCGGGAGGACGGGACGACGCGTCGGCGAAAATGCGGACTGCGATGCGGTCCGCATTTTCGTCGTCGCTGTCGTCGACGAAATTCGGATGTCGGGTGTAAGAGTGCAAGGGAGTCGCTTAGTGGGTGGGGCCCTAAAATTCCTTGGGACCGCGGTCTGCTCCGAACATCTTGCAGAACGTCAAGTCTGAGTCAAGTCAAGAGGGCTGGTGGTCGTGGCGCCAATGACCGCCGGTTCGGCGTCCCGAGGGGGAGGGTGATGGGAGATATGTGCTCCGCACTAAACGCTTCACTCTCCCCCTTTGCCTTTTCTTGAGTTCTGTCTCATGCGAGGTTCGGATGGGTTGTTGAGCGAGAGGAGGTTTTAGTCGGTTCGAATCCGACATACCCCACCCGCCATCCACATTGGAGGGTGGGAGTCCGGCGATTTCCTCCTGACCAAAAAAAAGCATTTACTATGAATCATATTTTGAGTGTGAATCCTATATCTTGGGTGTTCCTCATCAGGGTACCACATTTTTTATGTGATCAGAATGTCTAAAAAAATAAAATAAAATTTCATTTAACAATCTTAATATTTGATTCATATTAAAGAGATCATTGTCTCTCTTTCCATTAAATATAAAATGTTGCAAATTATTCAAATGGTTGGTGTATTTCTTCTTTCAAAGAAGCATAAATGAGATAGATAGAACATAAAAATCCTATCCTACAAAAATACTTTTCACTCCCTGCTAATTTGCTAGGATATGATGATGCGATTTAATGATGATCTATTGATGGCATAAGTACTTTGATGCCTCAAAAACTTATACATCCTGATACACTTCTACATTCTCCCAGCATATGAAATTAGTGCCAAAAATTAATTGGGTAAATTCCTGTTTGTATTCAATTGTACTGTTTATACCAATACATACACATTAATTTAAGAAATATACAAAATATAAACTTATTGCTAATTCTCTTGTACTGCCTAACTTTAACAGTCTTGAAGCTATGTAGCATTGTGTATTCTTTTTTGTTCTTATCAACCTTTGCTGTGAACTGCATATGTCTATAAGATGACTAGTTGATAATAATTGTAATAAAAATTATCCATATTCCTCATTTAGTACTCAAAATTTTACAGCATCCCTCGGAAACTCCTCCACCAACAAGAGTGGAGACGAGAGAAGAACGCATTGAGAGGAGAAGAAGAGAGAAAGCAGAGCAGATTGCTTATAAACTAGAGCAGGAGATTGCATTGTGGGATCCTTCTAGTAATCCGAAAGTTACAGCAGATCCATTCAAAACTCTTTTTGTTGCACGAGTGGTAAGATTATATATTTTCAAATAATTGTAAACCCCTATGCAAATAAATGAAATTAAAGTCAAAATGTAAAGCCTGTAAGCTTTTATTTTAAAAATTGGTGTACTTTATTTTAAACTTGCCAAAAAACAACTATTATTTGCGACATTATTCACTGAGCCCCTAATTAAAGTATTTTGTGATGTGCTCGTAAAACAATGAATCTTTCTGTTTACAGAACTATGATACTTCTGAATCTAAACTCAGAAGAGAATTTGAAGGATATGGAGCTATCAAAAAGGTTTGTGAAACTCAATAATTATGATATCATTAACACAGTGGTAAGGAACTTTTAATTCCACTACTTAAATTTCTGTTAGTTGGTATTGTATTGCTCTAGATAGGTTACATGATCATCCCTCAATGTCCATTTGGCATCAGTTACAGGAGACCATTGACTGAACACTGGTACTGACCTTACACATGAGAACTATTTGGATATTTATAAACATAGGCTGTACATATATAAATACATCCTGTATAAATTTCATTGTAGTGATAGAGCCCTTGATTGCATACTCGACATGGCTGTTGTTGTTATGGGATTCAGAAGTAGTGGGATGCTTAAGCTTACAGCTGTTGTTCTTTACAGATCCATATGGTCTATGACAAGGAAAATGGGAAACCGAGAGGTTATGCTTTCATTGAATATGAACACGAACGGGACATGCATTGTGAGTATATTGAGATGTTATGATATATTGAACATAATATTCTAGAATATATCTATATATGATATGTGTGTGCATTGAAACCTCTTTAAATTTAGGTATATTTTCATTATATGTTCAATGTGCACGCAATAAATCATTGTTATAGTAACGGAAGTAAAATGAAAAAAAGGCGAAAATGATCATATAATTTTATAACAATGATGGTCCCTTATAAAACCTTTTCGGAGAGTTTTTTTTTTAACTTCTTGAGCATTTTAACTTTATTTAATATGGCATAGATGGATTCCTCCATTCTGCCTATATCTACCGCGAATCAACAGATGTTGCAACAAAGCATTGGCTTCATACTTAGTAGTTTTTACATTATGGTGTCTAATGACTCCAACCACTATATCAAGTACTGTTTACTGATGGTAGGACCTCTTGTGAGTCCGCGCGGGTGGGTACCACCACCCTGCCTATTTCTGCCGTGAAGCAGTAACGCGTTTCGGTTTGAAGGGTGGGGCAGCCGTTGTAACTATACTTGAGACCTTAGAACTTATATCTCAAGGTGGGTGGCGCATTTACGTTGTGGATGTCTATGGGCTCCAGTAACCACTTCACACTAGGTGGGCTGTGAGCTCGTCCACCCATCTAAGCAATAAAAAAAGTACTGCCTCGGGAGGTTTGTGAAGCCCTCGCTTTGTTATGATATTTAACATAATGTACTCCGCGGTAACGTAATTACATTTACATTCTTCTAAGACTGTATTGGTTCATTTTTTCTATTTTTGTAACTAAACCTCCGAAAAGGTGTCCTTGGTCGTCACATAAATTAAAAAAAAGTTTACCTGAAAATTCCGCGCTCGTCGAATCATAAACAAATGAATTACATTATTTTTTTTGTTTTACATTCACCAGAGTCTGCCGATTAAAACTACCCCCAACTGACAATGGCATACATCTAGCATAGGTTTGTATGTGGTAAGGACTACATACATTTAAAAAAAAAACTATAAAAATATAAAAATATACTATTAAAAAAAATTGATTTCAGTACAATTTTTAATGACAAAACCCTTTTGAAGGGGGATTGTTCTTGAAAATTGTTTATCTGGATTCTTTTTTTTTTTAACGGTTAAAGGTGCTTAGGGTTATTCAAATGAAAATATGTAGTCTATGCATCTCGGATATAACCTTTGAGGTAAAATACTTTCATTAATTAAAGTTTTTTTTTTTTTTTTATCGTCTCGGGTAGCGGAATTTCAAAATTAATTTTTCTGAATTCAATTAACATCAAATGAAATTAATTAATAACTCACTGGAAGTGTTTATTTATTTTAAAAAATATTTTTCTATGGTTTTGTTTTTTATTATTATTGAAACAACATGTAGAGTAAAATCGATTTGATTTAAAAAAAGCTGCTCGCTTGCTACCCTCCAAAATGAACAATCAAAAATAACGGTAGGTATAAAATGGTGGGTATATTGAATGATTTTCATAAAACATAATATATTTATGTAATGTATATAAATATACGTAAATTATATATATATATATATATATAAATATATTTATTCGACGGTCGGCTCTGTTATCGGTAGGTGGGTATTCAAAGCGTAGGTATGCCAGTTGTTCATTATTATTATTTATGTAAAATATTTAGCTGTTGAAAATACAGTTGCAAAGTTTTTCTTTCAGGGAAAAGATAATAGAACTACTTATTGCGTTATATTTGTGTACGGATTTTCACCTGTACACACTGAGATTCTTAAAAGTTTGACAGGTTTTTTTTTCTTCCAAAACCGTCAATAATGTTTATTTTGGTTGGTTTTGACAAAAAATTGAAAACTGAAACGTATGTTTGGCAGTAAACATATTATAGTTTATATCGTCACCAGACGCGCACGCAGGTTGATGTATTTCCAATAAAAAATAAGAAAAAAATATAGATAAATACTGTGACACTAAAGGGGCCAACTAAAGTCAAAATCAAACTTCCGATTATTTTTTCTGTGTCTGGGGAGTGTATCGTGAGCCCTGCCTGTTTCCGCTGCGAAATCAATTAACGGTGCCCCGAGCGGGCCGAGAGCAATAAAGAGAAGAGTCAGTGTCAAAATGGCAGCGGTCAATTTTGACATCTGTCATTAATTAAGTGACGTTTCCATTGTACACATGTCGTTTTAATATTAGTTTTGGACTAAATACGAAACTAATGAACGAATAAAGTGTGTGAAAGTTGAATTCGACCTCATGTCTCACGTTTGAGATATCTAACAGTTCATCGACAAATGTTAATTCGTCTGACCTAATTGATGTTTTAGTTTCAATTTTATTTGTAGTGTCTCAATGTCGTTACGTGATATTTATTTTATTAGAATTAAATTATTATCATTATTATTATTTAAAACAAAACGAACGATTTGACCAGGGATCGGTAAGTTTTGTCTGTCTCAAAGTATAAAATGGTAAGCTGGAAATAGTCGGGAGAAGAAAGTATAAAAATTGAACTGATTTATTTAAAGGCATTGTCGTTAAGGTAAGACGTGGAATGAGGCGTCCGATCGCTTTATTTGTAATTATCTTTCCGTGGTGTATTTCAGCGGCATACAAGCACGCGGACGGTAAGAAGATTGACGGTAAGCGGGTATTGGTGGACGTGGAGCGCGCCAGGACGGTCAAGGGATGGTTACCACGTCGGCTCGGTACGTATCTGCAACCGGACGCAACGCCGCTCGCCCGGTCCCCGTCCGACGCCCGCTCAGAACTAAGGGGGGGCCGCGGAGTGGGAGGGGGCCGCTGCGTGGAAGGGGAACCGCAGAGGGATGGGGGCCGCGGAGTGAGTGGGGAACCGCAGGACTCCTCGGCCCGGACCAACGTTGATTCCAATAAAGACATGTAGGGTTGTGCAGTTTGTACGAGACCTCACATCGCCGCGTCCTAGGAGTGGTCATTGCTTTCATAATGTGCTCATGGAGAATCGCAGCTAAGTTACTTTTGATAGCAACTTGATTTCTAGTTTGTTGCTTGAGATACAACAAATATCATCCAAAAAAGACAAGGCAATGGCAATATTAATCGTATCTACAAGTGAGGGATAATTAAAAAAAAATTATAAAAATAAAAATTCAATATCATCAATTTTTAGATTATAAATTCCTGACCTAAAATAGTACACTTGCTATTTTAGGCCAGGAATTTATAATCTAAAAATATCACTATAAGTAATGTTGTATCTCACAGGTGGGGGACTGGGGGGGACGCGTCGCGGGGGGGCTGACGTCAACATCAAACACTCCGGAAGGGAGGACAACGAGAGGGAAAGAGAACGGTACAGGGCCGAACAACGACACCTCCGGGAACACGGGGAGGACAGGGGGAGACAGGGTGGCACGCCCAGGGAACACGGTGAGTACACGCGGGGAACCACGGGAAAGCGGGCCGGTTAGACTCTGTATCTTGTTTGAGACAGGGTATAGGTATAGGGTATTGAAGTGCATACCCCACAAATGTTTACGGATGACTTCATTGATGAAGGAATAACACTTATAAAAATCTATATTTACGCAATTACTGGCGATAGGGCGACTTGTGGGTCCGCACGGGTAGGGACCACCGCCCTACTGGTTTCTCTCGCGAAACAGAGCTCTCGGCGAGCTCCCGGCGGCCAGAGTTTCGTGACGGCGCACGTGGCTGACGGATCTCGTTTGTTTGGTTCCAGGAGCGAGTCGGCGCCGCTCCCGCTCCCGCTCGCGGCGGCGCTCATCCTCCCGCTCGCGCAGGCCCAAGACGCGCGACGAGGAAGAACCAGAGTCGTAAGTGCACACTTACTTAATGCGAAAAGAAACTAGTATATATGTATGTGATCAGCAAGGCACCCTGTACGCCCCCCGCGTGTCCACAGACGCCGCCGCCGCCGGTCCCGCTCGCGCTCGGAGCGGCGCCGCTCTCGAAGGGACAAGAAGCGCTCACGCCGCTCCCGAGACAAGGAACACAAGCTCAAGCCCGACGACATACACATCAAACAGGAGCCGCTCGACGGTACGTACACGCACACACAGACACATACACAATGAGTAGAAATAAATGAGGGAAACTATGGCAACACCGAGCTAGTGTTGAGAAATTTATTGTATATGTAATTGAATATGCAATTTCGAAAAGGGCACATGTTGCATATTTTGTCAAATAAGTTTTTTCATATACACGTAGTTTTGAGGCTTACCTACCCTACTTTTATAATAATTCCAGTAGGTTTCAAGTGCTAATTAACACTACAATATATCACAAAAGTTAATATTTTAAATTTTACACTGCTTTAGAAAATGATCAGTTTTTTTCATTTCTTGAACATTTTACATTTTCAGAGATGTGCCCTTTTCGAAATTGCATATTCAATTATATATGTAATTTCAGAACACTTAGTACCTCCTTCAAGTATCTAAGAACATGTTGAGTTTCGTATATTATTTTAATATTCCGCACGAATATACTTTATTTTATTACTATATATACTTTCAAACCTGATGAGATAATTAGTTAAAGAAACCAAAAGGATTTGTATAACTTCACAATTCAGACTCAAAACAAATGACCATAGATTTATTCATTTAATATTGATACATTGGTACTATAGTGGTGTGAAAGAATAAAATTTTGTTTTTTCCCTGAACAGACTACTCGATGGAACAGCACGAAGGGCTGATGATCAAGCAAGAACCTCCGGATGAGACCAAGTACAACCCGGATCTGTCCATGTATTGACCCCCATACACCCAGAGAAATGTACATGTACAGCATTTGATTCCCAATAAAATTAAGAATAAACCTATTTCTTTTATTTCAACTTTAACAACAACCTTTGATACAAGACGAAAATTGACAATTATAGCAAAAATATGTAGGACAATTTGATTTTTTATCGAAATCAGTTCTCACGAGGTTTTGAAGTCTGTAAATACCAATCTTTATAGTTAGATAGTTTTTAAAGCGAATAGTATGATCTGATTCCGTTTGCCTGCTCATATCACTAAAAAAATATTCTGCATCACAAACAAATAATACACTAACCACATTCATCAATCTCTATCATTAGTCATTACCCTTATTTATAACAAAATTGAATTCTAGCTCCAGATATAAGATATGATATAGGTAAGCTTTGCATATGCTCTCAAAGAAATTACACCATTATCTTTGCATGGATTCCAAGTCACTGTGGGATTAAAGAAAATGAGAAAGACGATCAGTTTGCCAAAGAAGCTATTAAGGTTGGAGACAGTCCCATACATGAATTATTGGCATGATTCGGCCCAAAACCCATCTTTGAGAGTCATGGAATGATATTTGGTTGAGAAGCAGCCAGTTCAAATGCAAACTTTATGCTGAAATTCAACCCAGGATCCCCAGTAAAACATGGTTCTTTAAAGTTAAAAGTTCTAAAATTGTCACTTCTATCATTTTTAGATTGCGTGTAGGACAGGTATGTGCACCTCATCATTAAGCAAGGCCTCGTATTGTTGATAGCAATATTTGTGAGTGCGGAGAAGATATTTGTGACTTCGACCATATTTTCTTTTCTTGTTCCCAATATGACCGCACCACCTTTATGGATCCTAACAATTACTACATGTTCCGTTTCCGACTAAAATCTGCCTTTTGCTTTATCCTTTATTGTATTATAATGTATTGTCTTCTTTCATAATCAATAATAATATTAAGATTTAATATGCTTACGTTATTTTTATTAGTTTATGTTTATATTTTGTTTTTAGCTAGCTTATCCCTTTGTTTCCTATAAATGACTTTGTTTATTTTTTCTCGCGTGTAGTTTTTGTACCCTTTACTTGAAACTGGCATAAAGTTAAAACTATGCCATAAAGAAAAAAAATTACACTATTGTCACAAACGTCAATTTGACAAAAGCGAAATGACGCCTTCATGAGGCGAAGCTCCGTTCATAATATTGTCAAATGTTTACAAATGAAACAATTAAAAATCGTTGTTTTTTAAATGAAAACTTTGATGTAGCTTTATTAAACAAACACAGAAAGCTTCAAATTTAAATAAGAAAATGAATAACGTGTGCTCTGCATGCCTGAGCAATGGCCGCGTATTGCATTCTATTGAAAATACGATTTATAGTAAATTTTACATTCAATTTGTATACGAAAGCTCTGTAAGTTTTACTTTTATGAACGAAGAGAAGTAACGTTGTCGCGACCACGTAAACAGCAATACTTAAAGGTCGTACGAAGTTATTGATCCCAACAAACAGTTCTACTTATTAGATTTGTTAAAATGCGTGTTTGTTTTGCTTTAATACATATTTGATTTCAAAAATTATTATGGTCGTCAACAAAGTGTCCAAATATATGTTATTTACAGAGCGTCAATGCGTCAGAGATCTGCCTCCGAATCTGCTGGGAGTGTAAAGCTTTATTACGCAAATTTGAAATATTCAAACAGAAAGCTAAAAGTGCTTTTAAATTTCTAACTGAAGGATTGGACTCGTTGGTAAGTAATCAAGCTGATCAGTTGATCAATCAACCAGTTGATAATATTAAAATGACAACAATATAGTTCTGTTTGTGCATGGTTTGGTAGTAAATAGTATTGATCAACACCCTAAGAACCTTTAGTTGTACAGCTAAGGTCCCGAGTCGGCCACCAGCGATAATCTATTTTGTATGAAGTATTTTCTTTAAACATTTTTTGTTTTCAATTTTTTTTTCAATAAAATTTTCAGGGTATTCCTTTGCTTATGATGATCTCTAGATGTAACTAAAAATTTCCCACTGTATGGCTCTGTGGTGCAGTGCTGTTAGAACCCCTACTTATATTGGGGCCTAAGGTTTCAATCTTGATTCCAATTATTAATTAAAAATTATCAATATCAATACTGAAGATCTGTTCTATTCATCACAATATTTGTACAGATTTCATATATGGCAGCATCTGATGGAAATTGTTGATGTCGATTTCAGAGCATAAACCCGTTTTTGCTGCAATCACAGTTGCAAATCTATCATCTACACAACTACGACTACTCTGATGATGTGAAGCACGAAGACATCATCCAGGAGGCGGACTTAGAAGTCAAAATAGAGCCTGTTGAACATGACGAACCAGAGACCTTTGTCAATGACTTTGTAGTTGATGTGAGTAAACCTATATTTGTTCCCGCAGTCGATGTGGTACTATACTGACTTCGAAACTTTGTTGTTGTAATAATAAATTATTGTCTTTGGGATATATGTTCTGTTTAAGACTTAAATTGGACTTAACACATAAAAGTATGTATGTAAATATAGCTGTATAAAAAACATTTAAATACTTCCATGTTAATGTTTTTTTTAAGGAATTTTATGACCTGGTAACTAAGACCTTTAGGTCATGTCTTATTTTAATTTATATTCTTATTTTTTTTTGATAATATGTAGTGAAATAAGATGAGATGATATAGGATGAAATATAATCTCAGTAAAATGGTGGTCATTTACTGAGATTTTTCAGTGAACTTTTTGGAGGATCCTGAGGAGCTACCTCCAGTGACTTTGTTTCATTTTCCCACATTTGTGCACTTTCACAGATATTAAACAGGTAATAAACCACCGTTATTACACATTTAAACCCAAGGAAACAATAAATAGACCAAATAAACAAATCACACAGCTTCACTCCTCGCATTCCCGCCAAAAGTCCCTTCCACGTTCATGTTTTCGAGTAAACTATATTAAATAATGAAGTTTGTGTTACTTTCATATATAATATGTGTACGTTTTTATAAGGATTGGTCCAGACTGTGTCCTTAGAGGAGGCTGCACCAGGGCGCTAACAATTTCACTAACATCTTCAAACATTGCAGGAGGACGCGCGCCCGGCGGAACTGAAGACCAAAAAGAAAATTAAAGAGAAAAAAAACAAAGTTCGTAAAAAGAAGACGAAACTGAAACGTAAGAGGCCCAGGTCGCCGTCAGTCAACACTGACAGCGTGGACTGTCAGGCCGGGCTGACGGACGCCGGGAGCGACGGTGAACCCTTGGTCACCAACAACGAAGACTCTAACAAAGAGACCGACGCCCGCAGCGCCGCGGGGCAGGGACAGGTGCGGGGGCCGGGGGGCGCCGCGGGTCAGGGACAAGTGCGGAGGCCGGAGGGGCGCCGCGGACCGGTCTGCTCATTAGTAAATTTGGTTTTCAATGTACGGTAGAATTTCGATCACGACCCGATATGTTTTTCTTATTGCTAAAATAGGTGGACGAGCGGACCATCTCGTGTTAAGCGGTCACCCGAGTCCATAGACCTCAACAACGTGATTGCCACCACTCTCCTTGAGATGTGACGGCTAACACGAGAGAACCTACGAGCAATAATTACGCAAATTATAATTTTATGTCGCGGTGGTCGCCCCAGAGTATTTGTCAAGTTTATCTCATAAGTGCAGTGTGTGTCTGTGTGTGGGAGCGCCCGGGGACAGTCCCGTGGCGCGACCCCGGCGCCGACGGTAGCGTAACGTTTGATGACGCCCGCGGTGACCTCGCAGGGGGCCGGCGACAGGCCGCAGTGCGCCGAGTGCGGGAAGATGTTCAGCACAGCCAAGACGCACCGCCGCCACATCGAGTGAGTTCTGCCAGCACCGCGCCGAGGGGACCCACCAGGGAACGCCGGGGACGGGTGCTAGCTGCGGACCCCCCGGCGCGCCCTGGAGGGCACGACGTGCGCTCGCATTAATTAAAAATTATTTTGTTTGTTTACTATCTGGGACGGAAATCCGACCTCATGTCTCTGACGCCGAGTACCGCCTTGTTCGTCCTTACTGCCGCTGCCAGTACCTATGTGGATACAACATAACGCGGGTACCTTTCATGCAGCGCCATCGATTAGACACTCGCCGAACTCTGTCAACCGACACGTCGATAAGCTAACTGCCATCTGTCAGAAACTCATAGAGCTCACTGACAGACAATAGGCTTTTGTTATCAAACAAATAACTTGCATTAAAATATATGTTGTGTATATAAACTGAGATCAAAACTGTTCCATCACGCAAGTCGGATCAAACAACAGAATGTGAAAAAAAAAAGAGTTAAAATCCGTTGGTAAGTTTCGGAGTTGATCGCGGACAAACATCAGTAGGATTGGTAAGAACGGAATGTATGAAAAGAGCGTGAAACGGAGCCTTAAAGTGTGAGCGAGAGAGAACTATGAGAAAGAGAATGACAGAGAAAAGGAAAATGGCGAAGACGGTTAAGTGAACAGGCTTAAAAAAAAAAGTTAATTTTTAATTATTATTATAGAAAAGATTTTGGAAAAGATTTTTTTTATTTATTGCTTATATGTGTGGACAAGCTCACATCCCACCTGGTGTTAAGTGGTTACTGGAGCCCATAGACATCTACAACGTAAATGTCGGATATAGTTGTATAGTTACAACGGCTGCCCCGCCCTTCAAACCGAAACGCATTACTGCTTCACGGCAGAAATGGCGGGTGGTGGTACCTACCCGCGCGGACTCACATGAGGTCCTACCACCAGTAAAAAACAGTACAACAGAGTAACAGTCGAATAATTTTATTTTGCGGCGACGCAGCGTGGTTCACCGGGGCCACAACAAGTTCCCGTGCCCGCACTGCGAGCGCGTCTACCGGTGGAACTCCAACCTGCACCGCCACATCCGGAGCCACAAGGTGAGGGGACCTCAGCAGCGTTAGCACTGTTGATGTCCATAATCGACAGTGACAATTCACCATGTATATCGATGGGTCTTTGGGCAATTCCGGCTGTTCCACCACGCTGACCCCGCACTGTCCCCCGCCCCGCTGCTGTATGTGGTGGGTGGGGGACAGCGGCGCCGCCCGCAGGCCCGGGAAGCGGACGAGCTGTACTGCGTGACCTGCGACAAGCGATACTCCTCCATAGCCACCTTCAGGCAGCACCTCACCGGCTCCAAGATGCACGTCCCCGTCGAACAGTTCATGTGAGTACTGCCTCAACGTTGAGGTCGCCACCGCCTTCATGATAAATGTTCTCTAAACCGTTGATACATTATTGAATGTTTCAATTTACTTGTTTCCCGAATTGCGGGTAGATGTAAAGTATGTGTGGGGTCCCCCGCCCCGCGACACGTGCCCCGCCCCCCGGGGGTCAGAGTGCGGGCGCGGGTGAACGTGTCGTCTGTCGCTTTTAAATTCCCCCCTCCCCCGCTGTGTAACATCCGCCTGAGCGCCGGTGCAGGTTCGTCTGCGGCGAGTGCGGCAAGAGGTTCGTGAGCAAGACGAATCTTAAGGACCACATCGACTGGGAGCATCTGAAGCGCGTCAAGTTCCGCTGCAAGGTCTGCGACAAGGTGAGCGCCGTCTACAGTGCGACCGGTGCAGCGTGACCCCTGACCCGGACGTCCCGTTATCGAGGCCTTGGGTCACGCTGCGCCGGTCGCGCTGTGGCAGACTTCCTTAGCAGCTATGCGCCCTTGGTACTTCGTTGCTCAACTTGGATAAACGAGTGCACAGCCCACCTGGTGTTGATTCGTGTTTATGGATTATCAAATCCTTATCTTAAGGCATGAGTTTGAAGTCTCAAATGCCTACTTTGAAGCATGAGGTCAAAGTCCCAGGTGTCTATATTGAGCATGAGGTAGAAGTCTCAAATGCCTACATTGAGGAATGAAGTCGAAGTCTCAAGTGCCTGTATTGAGGTTTGAAGATGAGGTCTCAAATTACTACATTCAAGCTTGAAGTTGAAGTCTCAAATAACTACGTTGAAGCTTAAGATCGAAGTCTCAAATGCCTACATTGAGACTTGAGGTCGAAGTCTTAGAATCCACTGTGTACCATTAGGTCGAAGTTTCATTACTATACGTCTGACTGTAAATAGGATGCACGGTGGTGTAATTTGAGGTATTCGAGTTTATTGAGGCGATATTTGGGACGATAAATAAATTTGATTTATTAAATACATCGCCCGCAATGTAAGGCGAGCAGGCCGGGCCGCGCGCTGTACACTACCGGCTCGCAAACTATGGATCAATTCGCCGCCTGCTTACATTGCTGGGTCTTTAAAGCCAAACAAGTCTACTTGTTGTGTACATTGTGCCACGTGCCTGACGTCGACCTCACGACCTCACGTCTCATGCCCGACAGCCGTTCAAGACGCACACGTCGCTCTACCTACACATGCAGAACGTCCACACGCACGAGAGCAGAAAGAAGTCTAACCTGTGCCACGTCTGCGGGAAGAGATACCAGGTAGGAGCCGCGCGTGTAGATTCGGTTCGGAGTTGAAGGTACATTCCATCTCACAGTTGAACTAGAGTCTTCGCACACGCGGCGGCGCTGGTTCGGTACTAAATTAATCAAGGTATATTCATGTTTCGATTTGGCAAGGGTCGTTGAAGGTTTTAAGAACGGAGGGAAGATCTTCCACCGAGCGACTGGATATTGCTCGGTAGACCGACGGTCCGTATGTTGTTATTCGGAGCTTGTATATATGCAAGCTCATCTTGTTGATGTCGTAAACGAGATTCAGGCATCTGTCGAATATCTGGTGTTGTATGATGGCTGCCCGCCACAGGGTCATCGAACCCAGATATCCGGTTCAGCAAGCGACGTGGAAATCAATGTGTTTCAGAATTCAGCCAAGTTGAAGTCTCACATAACGGCGCTGCACACCAGCCACACGCCTTACCGCTGCGGGAAATGCAGCGCCGCCTTCTCCTGGCACTCCAGCCTCTACCGGCACCTCAAGGAGATACACCACAAGGTCGGTGCGCAACGCGCAATGTAATGTGAATAAACATTGTAATTTGAGAGGTTGACCCCCCCTCCCCCTCCTTTCGCGCAGATAAAGGCGCCGTACGGCGTGAAGAAGACCAAGAAGTCGCCGCAAGTGTTGCCCGCCCCGCCCCCCGCGCCCGCCGCCGACACGTGACGCGCGCCCTGTACTTAACGAATTGTGATGTTTCTTAATATATATATATTTTTTTTTTATCAAAGCAAACGTGTTGTTTTCTTTATAATAATAATGTATAATCTTAATATATATGTGTCCTGATCTGTGTGCGGGTAGGCACTGTTCGAGCAACGCGCCGCCCTCGTCGCGGTCATAGGAGAGGAGCTCTCGCTGCCGCGCGTCGTGGCTACGATGCTTGGCAGCGACGAGCCCTGGAAGGCGATGCTCGACTTCTGCGAGTCCACCATCTCGCAGAAGGAGGCGGCGGAACGAGAGAGGGAGAGCTCTTCCCTTTCCGCACCGATCCGTCGCCATCGATCCGGGGGCCGGAGGCGGGAATACGCCCGTACGTCCCGGCCCCCGTAGGTAGCGGCCTCCCCCGAAAGTCAAGGGGCGACCTGAAGGGGTAGAAACCGCGCGGCGCGCTAACAGCACTCTAGCGTGCTGCCGAGGAGTAAATAGAGCGACCGGTTGGCGGTGTATCGCGTTCCGACCCAGCAGGCTGGTTCTGGTCCAGCGGGGTATTCCGGGACACCAGCGGCCCTGTTCTGTGGGTCGATAATTCACGTGCTGATGTCCAAGTGCCCCGTGACTCAGACCACTCATATTGGCCAACAAAATAGTAGACAGCTTCAGTTTTGTAAACATTTTATTTGATTAAACTTCATCTACCCACAAAACAGACAAAAACAATTTCAACAAAACCATTTATTCACGAAAATCATTCTCATCGTATATCGCCCTGATGGCGGCCAGCAGTTGCTGCAGATTGACCCCGTACTTGGCCGACACGCCGATGACATTGTCGTAGTCATTCCTCATGAGCTCGTAGTTGCGTTTCGCTTCGGGCAAGTCTATCTTGTTGACGACGAGCAGGGCCGGTCGGTGCGCCAGTGCGGCGCTGTACCCCCGCAGCTCACGGCGCAGCACGCGGAGCTGGTCCCCGGGCGAGGAGCTACCGTCCAGCAGGAAAACCAGCCCTCGGCACCTCTCCACGTGCTGCAGGAACTGTATACCTGGGTTCAAACATATTAGTGACGCGTGAGGTCGAGACACGCTCCGCAACGGAAAAATCTGTAGTGTTCATTAATACACAAAGTTTTAAGGGATTTTTAACTTTTTTATATGAAAAATGATATTATGAAATGAAGTGAAATGAAATGAGATGATATGATATGTGATATGAAATGAAATATAATCTCAGTAAAATGATGGTCATTTACTAAGACTTTTCAGTGGACTTTTTGGAAGATCCCGATGAGCGGCTTTGTTTAATTTTCCCACATTTGTGCACTTTCACAGATATTAAACAGTTAATAAACCATCGTTATTACACATTTAAACCTGAACAAACACTAAACAGACAAAATAAAACAAATCACGCAACTTCATTCCTCGCGTTTCCGCCAAAAAGTCCTAAACCAGCGTCAACTCACCCAGGCCGTAGTTCATGTGTGAGCCAGGGATCAGCCCCGGGAGGTCGGCCACCGCCACCTGCTCGTAGTCGTCGTACAGTATCGTGCCTGCAACGTTACACCAATGACAAACAAACAAACGATCCGCGTTCGACTTCAACCGAGAATCGAACTGCGCACTCGCGGTGTACCGTCCCTAACTGTTATTCAAACGAGAGTCGAAGATGATTGTTTTATAAGCAGCTCTTTACTAGTTTCACAGGATGCTCGGTGTTGTCCACGGACAGCACCATTGCTATTATTTGGACACGAAGGCGATACAGACAGAATAGGAGGGTGAGGCACTGCACGCCCTCCCAGCAGTTCAAGGAAATTATTATCATTATTTATTATTTCAACAAAAGGCGCAATTTAAGCCGTATTTGAACAAGCTTAACCGAGACGCGAACCGCCTTCCAGTAAACCAAAGACAGTCAACTCTAGGAGAAAAGATAAGGATAGGATAAGAACACATTTAGCCCAAGAGCCCGCGACAGCCAGACCTTCGTTCTGAATGATATTATAGATGTTTTGTTGTTGATCTAAATTTTCAATTGATTCGCTGTTACGGAAATTCTTGAAAGCTTCCTGGTACTTTGGATATTTTTTTAATGTTTTATATGATTTTAATTTTCCTTTCCTGAAGAATGCACGATAAATCCCAGAAATGACAGCTGATGTGCAGTAAAAGATCACAATAGACTAAGCACTCTATCTCACTCACACCCGCATGAACAGTTGCTACCTCGCGCTCGCACAGCGGGCTCTCAATGTGTCCGGCAAGATGTAAGAACCATTAAAACTGTCTGGCTATTGGGGTAACATATTTTTATAAGTCCCTAAGTAACATATATAAAATTCAGCTTTTATAGTATAACGAAAGTNATCTCACTCACACCCGCATGAACAGTTGCTACCTCGCGCTCGCACAGCGGGCTCTCAATGTGTCCGGCAAGATGTAAGAACCATTAAAACTGTCTGGCTATTGGGGTAACATATTTTTATAAGTCCCTAAGTAACATATATAAAATTCAGCTTTTATAGTATAACGAAAGTATAATTAAAATTTATTAAAGTTTAGGGGTGTCCGGCAGAGGGTAGCAACTGTAAAAAGTGTCCGGCAATAGATATCGTGATTTCTAAAGATATTCTGGAGTAATTAATAAAAAAAAATAACTTTATACTTTAACGAATTTAAGGTACTATTTTATATACCTTTACTGCCTGTTACCTGCCCAAGTAACCACAATCGGAACTCTATAGTCGGGGGTCGTTCTTACCTGTGCTGGAGACATACACCGAGAAACTTTCAGCTTTTATAAAATAACGAAGGTCTGGCTGTCGCGGGCTCTTGCTCTAATTGGGAAATTATTCGTCGAAATCATAATTACAATTTTTTATTTATTTTTTTATTGCTTAGATGTGTGGACGAGCTCACAGCCCACCTGGTGTTAAGTGGTTACTGGAGCCCATAGACATCTACAACGTAAATGCGCCACACATCTTGAGATATAGTTCTAAGGTCTCAGTATAGTCACAACGGCTGCCCCACTCTTCAAACCGAAACGCATTACTGCTTCACGGCAGAAATAGGCGGGGCGGTGGTACCTACCCGTGCGGACTCACAAGAGGTCCTACCACCAGTAATTACGCAAATTATAATTTTTCGGGTTTGATTTTTACTGCACGATGTTATTCCTTCACCGTGGAAGTCAATCGTGAACAGTTGTTGGTTGTTACTAGTGGAAATACAGAATTACATTTGTTAATAAGCCGTATCGAGGGGTGAAAGACTTTAGTTTAAGGCTTAAACTTTAAGCGACATTTGTACAAATTTACAATGGAGCCATTTAAAGTTTAATATTTATCATAACCTCAAAATAATCTTCAGCTATTTGAACGAAGTAAACTTAATTGAAGTACAATTAAAAAACATTCAACTGTTGACGCTGATACCAAATATTAAAACGGACCTTTAATTACAAAGATAAATGTCGCTTAAAATAATTAGCCTTTCATATTGGCGCAGGCGGAACGAGCCGCTCCGAGTCAGGAGCTCAAGGTATGAGCTCCGACCTCACCATGCACTTCCCTCTGCAATTGACAGCTGTCATTTCTGACACATGTCAAATGAGAGCGCTCACCGATGTGCGGCTTCAGCGTCGTGAAGGGATACGGTGCGACGTTGGGCCGCGCGCGCGATATGGCTCTCAGCACGGTGCTCTTCCCGGCATTCGGGAACCCCAGCAACCCGACGTGGGCCAGTGAGCGTACCTCCAGATGGTAAATGTTTGTTTCGCCTGCAGCCCCGAACTCTGCTATGTCCGGAGCCTAAAAATCGTTCAATGCATTCCAAAGGACCTCCAACAGAAGAGCACATTTCGCGCAAAGCACTGTTGATATCATTGTTCATTTATTTGGAGTCCGTTGGGGCTGACGGCGCCCCTCCAAATAGAGGTCTAAAACGGTATTCTACACCAAGTGGATTGTTCAGTGATATCAGATACAGCTGCGAACGAACGGAGAGTTAAGTCTGCAATACAACATAATCCAGTCAACAGCCCATGGTCGTACCAGGCTTAGTCAGAGCAGTTGTACCCAGATCCCTTTCCCTACATACTCGCTGGTAGCCTAAGAGGCTATTTCAATTACGCCAGGACTGGTAGATGAGCTCATGGGCTCAAACAGAGAATTTGCTCACATTAGCCATAGCAAGAGCAGTGTTTCACAGAATGTATAGCCGGATCGGAACTACGACCCACTGAGAAGATCCCGCGAGGAACACAGCGGGCAGTGTCTACGGGTTAGTTTGCTCGTCGAACTCTTCGTCTTAATCTAGGAGTTCGGCGACCAGTGATTGAGGGGCTTCAAAGTCGCGAAAGGGGATCCAGGGAGCCACCATTTTCAACCACAAAGTTAACAAAACAAAACAAAATCTTATTTTAATTTGCGGTCAAATTGTAATTAGTTTTTTGTTTAGTGTGGCTGGTACCCATATCCCACGACACATCCCATGCTGTTTCAACAATTCCTAGACTGGTTGACCACAGTACCACTGGTCAAGGCTGCCACTATCACATTCAATGTGTACTGAATGTGGTTAATGTTTATAATTTTAGTTTTTTATTAATTTTGCCATTAACATAGATATTGTTACCTGTTCTGTGTCCGTGAGGAAAAATTTGTTTCCTCTACCTCCCGCCCCACCCCGCGCCGCAACAAACATCAACCCCTCCCTGTCCAAATCCCCAATCACTTGACCATTTTGGTTTTTTATTATTGTACCTAAAAATGCAAAGGTTATTGGATATCTTGTACAACATTTTTGTATAGTGAAACATGGCATCATCGCTTAGAATCTCCAATATAACTAGTCAGGTCATAAGTATTGTCAGACGGTAAAAACTTTTCTTTTAGAATGCTGGCCACAAAAAAGTTTATTGAATTCGAATTTCGAATTGTTCATGAAAATAAAAATGTATACTTTTAGAATTATACTCATTTTTAAATATGGAGTGGACGCTTAAAGAAGACCGTGTTGCAGTTATGGCGTTGCATCGTTGCAGTTACGCGCCAATTCAAATTTTTAACATACTGAAAAATTTGAATATAACCAAAAGATTCGTTTATCGTACCATCAAACGATACAATGAAGACTCTAGTGTAGATGACAGGTCAAGAAGTGGTGGCCTCGATCTGTTAGGACTCCACCAGTGATAAAAGCTGTGAAGGCGCGAATTCAAAGAAATCCCAAACGTAAGCAGAAACTGTTGGCCCTTCAGATGGGGTTAAGCAGAACCACGGTGAAAAGGGTGTTAAATGAAGACTTAGGGCTTCGGGCATATCGAAGAAAAACAGGACATCGTTTGAATGCTCGTCTAATGGACCTGAGACTGAAGAGATGCCGCGCTTTGTTGAAGCGGTACGCGGGAAAAAAATATCGGGAAATTCTTTTTTCGGATGAAAAAATTTTTACCGTAGAAGAGAGCTACAACAAACAAAATGATAAGGTGTACGCACACAGTAGTGAAGAAGCGAGCAACCGTATTCCGCGTGTCCAACGAGGTCATTTTCCATCCTCGCTCATGGTATGGTTGGGAGTTTCTTATTGGGGCTTAACAGAGGTACATTTTTGTGAGAAAGGTGTAAAAACGAATGCAGTTGTGTATCAAAATACAGTCCTGACGAACCTTGTGGAACCTGTTTCTCATACCATGTTCAATAACAGGCACTGGGTATTCCAACAAGATTCGGCGCCAGCTCATAGAGCGAAGAGCACACAAGACTGGCTGGCGGCGCGTGAAATCGACTTCATCCGGCACGAAGACTGGCCCTCCTCCAGTCCAGATTTGAATCCGTTAGATTACAAGATATGGCAACACTTGGAGGAAAAGGCGTGCTCAAAGCCTCATCCCAATTTGGAGTCACTCAAGACATCCTTGATTAAGGCAGCCGCCGATATTGACATGGACCTCGTTCGTGCTGCGATAGACGACTGGCCGCGCAGATTGAAGGCCTGTATCCAAAATCACGGAGGTCATTTTGAATAAACTTTAGTGTCATAAGAATCTATGTTTTGTTAAGTTCATTTTGGTATATGAATGGTTACATAATGAATAAACTTGTTTCAATTATTTTACATTAAACATGTGACAGAATTTATGACCTGACTAGGTATATAATTAATTCAGTGGAGGGGGTCCCATTCCAGAGTCTAGTGGTTATATGGCAGGAAAGATAACTGGAAACTCAAAGTGATTGAGATGAACCCAGAAGCTCATGGTAGTAAGGATTAACTCTTCTTTGGTGGCAGGCAGGGCGACGGCAGGAAAGTATATGAAGAAAAGTGGGTTTTATGAAGATTTCAGTTTTGTTTAATTTATCAATCAAATAACATCCCTCTTGGGATATCGGGTCGTAACTGCATTTGTAAACCACCGTTGGCAACATATTATATAATTAACTAATAACATTAGTTTGTGCCTGAGGATGCAATACTCACAATATCTTATATTTTATTGAATGTTATTCAAAAATGTTTAGTAGACTTACCTATTGGTACATTGACAATGACGTGTCCAGCATTCTTGCCGCTGCAGTCTTTGTTGAATCCTTTCTCTCCGGGCTTCGCTTGTATGACTGCTTTACAATGATTTAAACTTCGTACAGAATTTGTTGCCTAAAACATTCGACTAATTATAATTTTTTTTTTTATTGTTTAGATGGGTGGACGAGCTCACAGCCCACCTGGTGTTAAGTGGTTACTGGAGCCCATAGACATCTACAACGTAAATGCGCCACCCACCTTGAGATATAAGTTCTAAGATTTCAATATAGTTACAGCGGCTGCCCAGCCCTTCAAACCGAAACGCATTACTGCTTCAAGGCAGAAATAGCTAGGGCGGTGGTACCTACCCGTGCGGACTCTCGAAAGGTCCCACCACCATGATTAAATTTTTTTACATTTTAATATATAATGATAATAAATAAGGTAAATATAAAATATAATTGTCACATAAAAAGTCTTCATTCGTAAAATGCAGCTCTATATTAATTTTAGTGCTTTCACTTTTGCTTTTAATCAGGCTTCAATATACCCGAAGGATAATTGTTATTTAATTTGAAATTCACAAGGAGTGATCCAGTTTCTAACCTTAAATATGACATGACCTCCATTTCCACCATCGCCACCGTCCGGACCGGCGTGATCTTTACACCATACACTTAGGAAGGATATGCAGCCGTCACCTCCATTTCCTCCGACAGTCCTAACGCGAAAGGAATCTACATAATGCTGAACTGTATCTCTAGTAGACTTGGGTTTCAAACTACGGAGCGGCTTAGGCACGTTATCACAGTAAGGTCGTTTCGACACTGTGTTTGGCGTTTTTATAGTGACCTTTAATCTTTGTAATAGTCTAATCAATCGCATTTTTTAAAAAGGACTCTCAAAATTTTTGATCGCAAAGAATCATAATATTTACTTTGTGTTCCGTGACTCGAAGTTTAAGCTAACGATATTTTTAGCATTATCAAATGTCAAAGAAAGTTAAAAATACTTTGGCATAATAATTTTATTTATATGTTTATTTTTTGTGTGTATTGCGTTTTATTTTACGACATATAATTTTAATAGAGTACGAGAGTTAAACTATTTAATGTTGTTAAATATGTTCGATTCTCAGGGTATTATTTTAATAAATATAACGTGTACACTATTTTTCTATTTGAGTAGGTATGTTTCATGCCTGTATCTACTCTCTGTGCTCTGGAACGCAATAGGACCCACTGTTATGCCGGCCACTCACATAGACGCAAACATTCGTACCTACAATGTACGAAGGGCCGTCAAACATTCATTCGCAAACTTAGCGGCTGTGCAATGCAAATGGGTTCGGTACTCAATTTGCGAACCCGTTTGCGCTTCCTCCTACATTTGCTTACGAATGTCTCACGAATTTCTCCTCCTTTTTAATTCGTCAATAGAACATTGAAGAGAAAAAGAGTTTTAAATTCTTTCCCAGACATCATTAACAGCCATGCTGTTTTTATATTTTTATTTTTTATTGCTTAGATGGGTGGACGAGCTCACAGCCCACCTGGTGCTAAGTGGTTACTGGAGCCCATAGACATCTACAACGTAAATGCGCCACCCACCTTGAGATACAAGTTCTAAGGTCTCAAGTATAGTTACAACGGCTGCCCCAGCCTTCAAACCGAAACGCATTACTGCTTCACGGCAGAAAATAGGCAGGGTAGTGGTACCCTCCCGCGCGGACTCACAAGAGGTCCTACCACCAGTAATTACGCAAATTATAATTTTGCGGGTTTCATTTTTATTACACGATGTTATTCCTTCACCGTGGAAGTCAATCCTGAACATTTGTTGAGTACGTATTTCATTAGAAAAATTGGTACCCGCCTGCGGGATTCGAACAGCGGTGCATCGCTTCAATACGAATGCACCGGACGTCTTATCCGTTAGGCCACGACGACTACTATGGGATTTATTTTGATGAAAATACGCTACACAGTAGACGTCACGATCTATGAAAATAGCGAAACTTCCGTTGCCTTCGCAATCCTAGGTGCTACTGGTCACACGAATGTGTGGGAGACTACGCGAAGGATCGCGGTTCACGCGCTTTGATGTTTGTTAAAAAACCGACACAGCTTGGAAAACCACGAATGCAGCGAAAACTTTGCATAATCATTCGCAAATGTCGTCCTACACTTGCGGGTTTGCGTATTCGTGCGAATGTGAGTGACCGGTATTAGAATCGGTGACTTTTTGGCGTGAACGCGAGGAGTGAAGTTGTGTGATTTGTTTTATTTTGTACATTTAGTGTTTCTTCAGGTTTATCCCGATCCTGCGGACAGAATGGAAAGCAGTCGACGTCGCCCAAAACACGTCATCTCGGATCCTCCCGATCCACTAACGGTGCTTCTAGGTACTTCAAGCACCGGTCACCGTTCTCGTCGAACCCGTCGCTTGCGACGAAGGGCTCGACGAGTAAATTAACTCTCAGACACAGCCCACTGAGTTTCTCGCCGAATCTTCTCAGTGGGTCGCGTTTCCGATCCAGTGGTAGATTCTGGGAAGCACGGCTCTTGCTAGGGTTCGTGTTAGCATCGTCATCAGGTTTGAGCCCCGTGAGCTCACTTACTAGCCACGGTTACGCTGAAATAGCCTCTCAAGGCTATCAGCTTAGGTAGGATAAAAAATAAAATAAAAAACAGGTTTAAATGTATAATAACGGTGGTTTATGAACTGTTTAATATCTGGGAATGCACAAATGTGGAAAAATGAAACATTGTCGCTGGACGTAGCTTCTCGTGATCCTCCAAAAAGCCTACTGAAAAAGTCTCAGTACATAACCGCCATTTTACTGGGATTATATTTCATCCTATATCATCTCATGTCATTTCATTTAATTTCATCTCAGTTGATCAATGTCTCAAATTAATCATCTTCATTTCATTTCACTCCATATTATCATTTTTCATAAAAATAAGAATATAAATTAAAATAAGACTTGACCTAAAGATCTTAGTAACCAGGTCATAAAATTCCTAAAAAAAAAAAGACGCGAGGAGTGAAGTTGTGATTTGCTTTATTTTGTCTATTTAGTGTTTCTTCAGGTTTAAATGTGTACATAAAACTGTTTTCATGTCATATGTGGCCAATAGTTTTGTGTCGCATGATCTATGGTTAGCTCCTTTGTATTGTCCCTGAGTGACGTCAAATGTTATGAATTACGTTCAGCCGTGTCCTGTGCTGTGGCCGCTGAGCTGATAGCGGGTCTGCGTGTATAAATACTGCGACTGAATAAATACACTACCTTTATATTATATTAGAACGTCGGAGTGCAACAGCTAGCATCGCGCTCGCTCGATGACCGTTTCCGACAACAACAGTGGAACGGTGTCGACCACGGAATAGATAAATAAGGTTGGAAAGGCCTTTGCTCTAATTTTGTATTAGAACCAGTGTCGCCACTTCATCCCCACTATTTTAATTTCTACACATACACACACTGTGATTACAAGTATTTCGCACACAACAAAAACACCCACACATAAATCTCAGGACAGATATTCGTTCGCAAACTAGCACAAAACACCCGTAGGCATACACACTCACACACGCAAAAAGGCAATAAAAATGTTCATACACGCTAGTGCTTGATAAAATCGATATTCTTTATCGATAAATTATCTGATGAATGAATGGAGAAAATGAAACATGAAATAAATATTGAAAAAAAAAACTATTTTACTTTTATTAATTACAAATAGTCACTGTCGCTGGAATAAAACGTATTTGTTAAGCAGTTGGCGCTTGCTATTAATTGCGAATGAATTTTTCAAAACTAAGTGTATTCTGATTTTTTTTATGGTAAAATCATTTTCAGTAAAATGTTTAGAGCAAATAGTACTCGTCTTTGTCTCCAGTTTCCTCTACCTGTCACGTCAATCCATTGTTCCCTGGCGTTAGGTTCTTTAGGAAACCTAAAATTTTTTATTTACTGCATAAGTCAAATGGCATTTTACTTAGATTTTAATACGTCTTAGACAATATAGTAAATACCCGTAAATGAGAGGTCTACATGTCCCTTTATATTATACCTTCACTTTAATTCAATGATAATAATTCAATAATAATAATACATATTTATTTTACTCAAAATACGTCTCACTAAGAATATACTAGGTATCATTAATTAAATATAAAATAATGCAAAAATTATCCATGTCAAATGTAAATATAGTCGAGAATTCTGTCGATGATTTTATTTCACCACATGGTCACCTCACTATCGACAAACTAGCGCCGTGCACCACGGCCAATCAGGGCAAAGGCCGAAATTTCAAAGATTGAAGTGTAGAGAACGCAATGCATGTAGTACATTGGAAGCTGACTTGGTCATTGCGTTCATTGGGCGAGTACACATCGCGCAATGTATGCTATTTATAACTTGCTGCAATAATATTGTTAATGTTTGGAATTTCATAATGCTCAGTATATTTTTATGTTTTAGACAAATAATATTGTAATTAAATGGTAATTTCGACTTACCGATCGAAAGATATACCTCCTCGCTCTATACTTGAGGTCTGATTTTTTGTTTTACAAGTTATAATTGCACAACACGGCACTATAAAGCGGAGATCTGTTCGCCAAGTAGTCCGAAGCGCACTAAACGCGGTGAATGAAAGAATCGGTCGAGTTATGTTTGTTCTATCATAACTGTGGCACGCTTGCCCCGCCTACATTACCATTCCAACCTTATTTATCTATTCCGTGGTGTCGACAGTGTGTCTACACAGGGAGGGGGGAGGGTCGACCGGGACATCTACACATGGGGGTCGCGACTGGGGTATCTAAGGAGGGAGGAGTCCCCATCTGTGTGTTGCTTGTTCAGATAGAACCGGAACCAATGTTTCTTCAAACGAACTCAAAAATATCTGGCGAGATATAACAAAGAAAAAAAAACTTTCTTCAAATATGTCTGTTCTTCACGCAACCAGGCGAAAAACAAGCAATTTATTTTTGTAATTACAAAGTTTATAGCAACTAATTAATTCACAATGCCTATAAGTAGAGATCGAGCGTTGCCGTGACATTAGCTCCGGTGTCAGCGCCGTCGGGATGGAGGCACCTTGAGTCGCTACGTCTTCTGCCGCGCCGCGTGCACCAGCTTGTTGTGGTTGTACAGGGCCGCTTCGTATCGGAAGGTCGAGGGGCAGCGCGTGCACGCGAAGGGCCTCTCGCCGGTGTGCGACCTCACGTGACCCTCCAGAGTCTTCTTCGTCTGCAACGGGCCAAGATCATTGTTGGCTTCTTCAGACCAGGTACGAAAGAATACTCGGCAACAGCTTATCTGTGCTAGCTTTCTGGCATTGCTGATGTCCATGAGCGATGGTGAGCACTTAGCGATATTTAGTAGAGCTTCTGTCGTACCATAGCGGGGGTCGACTATTATTCAGCTGCAAGTAATTACGTACTGAATACTCACGAACCACTTCCATGACATCTCAAAACTCATACAATATCAGCTTCAACAGTATCACTGGTGCAAGTGGTGGTCTTGTGAGTCCACATGTGTAGCTACCACCGCCCCGCTTATTTCAGCCGCGAAGCAGTAATGCGTTTTGGTTTGAAGTGTGGGGTGTCCGCTATACTGTTAAAACTGCAACTTCGAACTCTGATCACAAGGTGGATAATGGTTAATGTCCATGAGCTCCGGTATCCACTCAACACCATGTGATCCGCGAATTCGTTCACACGACGAAGCAATGAATAAAAAAGCCCTTTGGTTGAAGCGTTCCAGTTTGTGGAGGAGGGCGACATGCATCAGCACACCAGAACCTTTCAGTTGACACGCAGACCCCACACGAGCACTTCGCAGTGTATTTGAGTGGAGTACCTGAGCGCCTTTCGCTTATAAGACAAAACTAGAGAAGGCATCTTTTCTCTAGTTTTGTCTTATATCAATTTTTATGAAACGAAAAGGTGACACTAAAAAGAGATAGCGATATACATGTGCAAGGTTTGATCTACGAGGGACCCATGACTGACCGTGTAGGCCTTCCCGCAGGCGTGGCACACGTGGTTCCGCAGCGCGCGTGCGAGGCGGTGCGTGCGGCGCGTGTGCGTGCGCAGCGCTGCGCGGGACGGACACGCCTGTCGGAGCACCCCACCGCACACCGTTAGACAATGTACATTTCTCGAAGCACGAAGCTGTTGTAGGTCCATGGGCAGTTTAGTGAAGACAGCCGTACGAGCTTCATCCGGGTTACGTAGTGGGAAAGCGGTAACCACTAACCACTGTATAAAGCGAACCGAATCTTTCTATATGATACCGACGCCCGGGCAGAGTGGGTTGCTCCGAAGCCCAGTCCACGTCCCCTTAGGGAGCTAGTAGTGAGAGCCTCCTACTTCTGTTTCATTACACGATTGCCCTTTCCCAAGGTTCACAATTAATTCCAGACCTAATTACGTCAAAATCGATTCAGAGGTTGGCACGTGACCACAAACAAGGTGGTAGGACCTCTTCTGAGTCCGCACGGGTAGGTACCACCACCCTGCCTATTTCTGGTTTTGAAGGGTGGGGCAGCCGTTGTAACTATACTGACCTTAGAACTCATATCTCAAGGTGAGTGGCGGCATTTACGCTGTAGATGTCTATGGTATCCGGTAACCACTTAACACCAGGTAGGCCGTGAGCTCGTCTACCCACTTAAACTCTGCCCCGACCGGGGACTGATTAAGACGCCGACCTCACGTCTCAAAGCAGGTGCCGACTCACACGTGTTAATTATATCTTGTACGGAACAACCTCTAGTTGCGATGCTAAAACTGGCCCATGCGGTTCTTTAAATGAAACGACTTACGAACTCGCAGCCGCTCACGGAGCACCTGATGGGCGCTATCTTCAGGTGCACCGCCATGTTGTGCTCCTCCAGCCGCGCCGCCTTCACGAACTTCTTGTCGCAAAGCTCGCACGCGTACCTGTTTGTTTGTTGAGGCTCTATTTGTCGGGGGGCGGTCGGAAAATGCGCCCCCCCGGTCAGAGCGACACAAGTACGCTATGTAGAAATGGAGTATACATCGACCGACATATATACAAACAACAAAAGTAAGGGCTTCTTATATAATTTAATTATAAATAAAATATTATTTATTGTGTTCTGATAACGATTTTGTAGTGATTTCTTCCAAAAACCTATCATTTATGTTTTGTTAGGTGATCAAATCAATTTTTTAATGTTAAAAATTATGTGGAGGGGCAGCGTAAAATTTTAGAAACGTCACAGTGGGGCATGGCACAAAAAAGGTTGGGAAGCACTGCTCTAAAGCCTTCCAAATTCATATTTATAACTCTCTTACCTTCGTCGTCAAATGGACTAATGAAAATGTAAAATAGACCTTATCACAAGTACGCCTAAAGTGTGGATTCGAGTTTAGAAAGATTGTGTTGTGTTGCCAGCTGAGTCTGAAGACGGTTGTTAAATACAGTAAAAAAAATGAACACAATCTGACAGCCTCACGCGTTCCAGGTCGATGGAGTTTTAACAAACGGCATTTATGGCATGATCAAATTCAAGAACTATATTTAAATACCGAATGAGTTTGTGTTCAAATACTATTGTTTATGGCGAGCCATGGGAGCTTTGGGCATCCGTGGGGGTCTGTGGGCTGATGATGACAGAGACGAATAGATCGATAAACTCCTCAGTACGGTAAGTGATTAATGGAATTTGTTTCATTGACAGAATAATCAAAATCAAATGTCACAATGACATTGACAGATCCCTGCAGTATGACGTAATTTTTTTTTAATGTCTCAACGAATCCATACACGGTTCAAAGGGGCTGGTGGTAGGGTGTATTGCGAGTCGGCACTGGTGGCCGCACCCATACAGCCTAGTTAATGTTTAGCTTAACGGATTATTAGTGTTGTGTAGCATCTTATATAATATGTCAGACATACTCACTTCAACTTGGCCGGGTCCACGTGCTTTAAGTTGTACTTCATGTGTTGATAGTAGGACATCTCATTCTTGAAGTTCATGTCGCACTGGAAACATAGATATCTCTAGTTGGGCAGACAGGCTCGCGGCCCAGCCGACACTAAGCGTTCACCGTGCTCTTTAATAACGCAACACGAGTACCGTTTCAATTCTATATCTTTTTTACTCTTCAGAACGGAATGTATGATATCTTCGTGGGAAAATCGAGCAGATTGGTGTTCCCAGCCGGGTAATTTGATTAACATTGACCCGCATAGTCTGGAAAAGTTTCTCATTCATGCTCAAGTGGAGGGGAATCGTGCCAAAGTTCGTTCACCAATGAAATGTTAAGAGGATAGTTGGAAGTAGCATCCGTCAGGCTTCTCAGGATCTTCGTGGAAAGGCTTACGTACAGGAACGACTTTTTTCTCCTACCTATGCTGATAGCCTTGAGAGGCTATTTCAGCTTCTCCTTGACGTGTAGATGAACTCACGGGCCTCAAGCCGGAAGTGTTGCTAACACTGGCCCTAGCAAGAGCAGTGCTTCGCAGAATCTACCACCGGATCGGAAACGCGACCCACTGAGAAGACCCGGCGAGAAACTCTATGGGGAGGAACGACGAAGAACAAGTTCCACAGAATTGATATGAGTTCCACTAGTGACCGATCGGCTAGGGGCTCACTCACGTGATGGCAGTACAGCAGCGAGGACGCGTTGTGGGTGATCATGTGGATCTCCATCGCTTTCTTGAACACGAACCGTTTCCCGCACTTGTTGCATTCGAAGTCCTTCTCGCCTTTATGGATACTTTAAAAAAATACATAGAAATTAAAAATACTGGTGGTAGGACGTCTTGTGAGTCCATGCGGGTAGGTACCACCGCCTTGCCTATTTCTGCCGTGAAGCAGTAATACGTTTCGGTTGGAAGGGTGGGGCAGCCGTTGTAACTATACTGAGACCTTAGAACTTATATCTCAAGGTGGGTGGCGCATTTACGTTGTAGATGTCCATGGGCTTCAGTAACCACTTAACACTAGGTGGGCTCTGAGCTCGTCTACCCATCTATGCAATAAATGAATAAAATTAACACCCTTTATTTGTAGTAATATTGTGGTATTAATAATGAAACGCCCTATATATGGGACTATATTAGCATTGATGATAAAGGTTGAGGTTGTTAAGGGAGTGTTAACTATGAATGTGGAAGGATATAGAGGAAGAGGTAAATTCAAGAAGAAATGGATGGATTGCGTGAAAGACGATATGTGTAAGAGGGGAGTGAGGGGAGAGATGGTATATGATAGAGGAGTGTGGAAGGAGATGACATGTTGCGCCGACCCCAGGTGACTGGGAGAAGGGTAGAGGAATGCTAAAACCATATTTTTTGTGATGCAGCACCCTGTATGTATATATGTATGTGTGTGTGTGTGTGTGTGTATAATAATTGAAAGCATAGCATCCTGTATGCACGGGATTGGTTCACAGATATCTACTATTTAGATTAGCAATTTTAGTTTTTTTTTTAATTGCGCATGAGCTACGGTAATCTTTATTTGTGGCCTCAAGTGACGTGACGTGACCTCTGCACTTACAAGAGATGCGTCCTCAGCGAGGTCTTGTCCCGGAAGGTCTTCCCGCACAGCTCGCAGCGCTGCCGCTCGGCGTGCTCCTGCACGTGGCTGCGCAGTCGGCCCAGCGACCTGCAAGCGGAGGCGCACGGCCGTGAGGCGGGAGCGCTGACGAGATCGCGAGGTATATGCGCGCTACTCAGATATCTCGGAGGCCCGGTCGGCGGGCGGTGCTCACGGGTGCTCACGGACACTCACGTCTCGGTGCGTCCGCAGACGCGGCAGGTGTGCGTGGGGGGCGGGGCCCCGTGCGCCCTCGCGCAGTGGTCGGCCCCCACGGCGGCGCGGGACCACGCCGACAGACACGCCCGGCAGCGCCATCTGCCGACATCACGCGACATCACTCACCTCCCAAACTATTTTGTAAAAGAGTGGAAAGAGACTCCTTTTCGAAATGAATCGATACCTCAGATTGTGGGGGACAGTCGAATTATTTATAAAAATCCCGTCCCTAGTTTTATTCCTATGAATACAATATTTTAGATTTTGGTATTTTAATTTAAAAAAAAGTAATTCCATTCGACATTCCAAATGTGCAAGAAGTAAGGATCACCATCTTGTATAGGGGACAGGTTGATAAAGTGTCCGCCTGTAAACAGCGAGTTACTAGTGAAAGACTCACCGAAATAGTGCTAGTGTAGGAAACATAGCAATTTTAAACAGAGTAAAGTGTGTTGAATTAAGAAGCTTCTTTGTGACTTGTATAGTTAAGAAACATGCAAGTATTTAAAATCTCAACTATTTATATATACTAGTGGTCCCCCAGTAGTCGAAATTCGACTATAATTAATGGAAATTATAAGTTTGAACATTAATAAGGTTTCTACTTCTATAATGACAGATTTCGCCAAGACTACACTATAGACAAATAATATAGAAGACAAACAATATTCATCTATTCTCAATTTGACCACAGATTTTACACAATAAACAAAAGGAGTACATATTTAATGTGTGTGTCAAATACATGTTGTGTGTAATGTTTTTGTTATTGATTTTATGTATTATTAATGCATAAAATAAAATAAAAAATTGCATTCTGTACTGCTTCTCTATAAGTGTGGGAAATTTCATACTCCTCCGTCCGCATAATTTTCGTAAAATGGGATACAATGTTTTAGCTTCACGCATATAGATTACTATTCACGTAGCAAGTGTTTCGTTCGTTCTTAATTTAGTTTCCTACTCTAATAGTTTATGGCGCTGTTTTTTAAATCTTTCCATTTGCTACTGTGGCGCCATCTTAATTGGCTCACTTTCAGCCTTGAGTCATGTAATACATTGGTAGTTTTCCAATTACAGAACATAATGCGACTCAGTGACGCACAATGCCGAATTATGTTCAAGCTTAATTGGAACGTGAGTTAGTTTGCAAATGCATCAGCAGAGTGAAGGTTGAAAAGTAATTTGGATTTTGATTATTTCATTAACTTTTTTTTACATTTTGAGTAATTTTTAAAATAAAGTAAAATTATATACTTTTATTGAAACATCTTATCCAGATGATAGTGATGACGATGATTTATCGAGTGCTCCGGGTTTAAATCAATCAATTATTTCATTATCCAGTGATATAATTATTGAAAATATATATGATAATGTTATTTGAGCCATTAATAAAATATCTGATGACAGGCAGTACTCTTGAGAGTGCTCGATTGTGGGAAGCGTTGCTGTAGTTGGAACATTCAACGTTGAGCATTATGCCGCATAATGCGCTCTAGTGCTGTTATTGGAAAACTACCACTGTGTAGTGCTTTATAGTATGTGACGTTTGTGAGACCTGACAGTTGATACTAGTTGACAGTGACAGTTGACAGCTGTCAGTTGTTAGACGCACCTGACGCGGTGCCGGCGGCGGTGCGCCGAGTATGCGTTGTTGTCTTTGCAGCGGACTTTGCAAATATCGCACACCAGGCTGCCCGAGGACTGGGAACAAAACAAAAAAAATAACAAGTATTAAAATCAATTTTACTGGTATCAATCAGTATTACTGGTGGCAGGACGTCTTGTGAGTTCGCACGGGTAGGTACCACCGCCCTGCCTATTTCTGCTGTGAAGCAGTAATGCGTTTCGGTTTAAAGGGCGGGGCAGCCGTTTTAACTATAATGAGACCTTAGAACTTATATCTCAAGGTGGGAAGGTGGGTGGCGCATTTACGTTGTAGATGTCTATGGGCTCCGGTAACCACTTAACACCAGGTGGGCTGTGAGCTCGTCCACCCATCTAAGCAACAAATAAGCAATAAAACAAGCATTAAAATCCACTATTTTACATTTACATGGACACACATAAAAATTTGTCAGCGCACATCTACATATGTTATATTACCATCTTACATACCATTTGTATATTACCAGCAGCTTCATTCACGTGGTCAATAAAAGGTATCAATTTCTCTAAAGACATTAGAAAATGGTTTCCTGCAACAGTGTGGATGTATTTTCAAGGTAAAGGTTTTTTAGGATATCATGACAGTCCGTCGCTTCAGTTCAACGTGAAAGAGAGGAAGAGACCAACACATCTTCACATCTGCAACATTAGTATGGATGATCTGACGTGTGCCTCTCACCGGGTCGTGCTTCTTCATGTGGTTGAGCAGCTTGGACTTGTGGTTGAAGCCGACGATGCAGTCGGCGCAACGGTAGTCGTGCCTCGTGAACGCGGCGCTGTCCAGGGCCACTCGCCGCTCCTGCGCCACCTGCGGGCATGGACCGGTCACGTCTCCACCCGGCAGAACCCTCAGAGGCAGCACTGGTGCTCACGGACAACACTGACTCACTCAACCCGTTATTTGAAGTGATCAAAACCCAACTAATTAATGTTTTAAGCATTGAATATAATTTAAAATAAACAATAATTAATACATGAACTGGAAAATTATTGTTTACTAGCGACCCGCCCTCACTTCGCTTCGGAAACATTAAATTTTATTAATGATAGCTGAGTCATGCGATGTTACCCGCGGTTATTGTCGTACCGCGGGTGACGCCGCGGGGCGAAGCTACTCTAAAAAAAGTAAGTTACTCTAAGTTACTCCTTATATTATCAGCTACCTATCAGTGAAAGTCCCGTCAAAATCGTTCCAGCCGTTCCAGAGATTAGCCAGAACAAACAGATAGACAGACAGACTAAAATTGTAAAAAATTATATTTTGGTGTATGTACCGTATTAATATTCATATGCATGTAGTAAAAAGCGGTTAATGTTACAAACAGATACTCCAATTTTATTTATATGTATATATTTTTCCAAGTATAGTATAATTATATAGTTTATATAGTTTTTTTTTATATAGTTTCCAAATATAGTCATCCTACTACCTACCACTGAGTACTTATCAAGACTATTAAAGAGGGACATGTTTTAGAGCTAAAAAATCATTGTAGAAAGGAATCCATTCCAGAGCCGGATGGTATATGACAAAAGTTTATGGAACTGAACTCTGCATATGACATAGATGCGTGGGTGAATTCTCAAATCGATCAGATGTCTTGAAGATTTTTTATTGCATAGATGGGTGGACGAGTTCACCGCCCACTTGGTGTTAAATGGTTACTGGAGTCCATAGACATCTACAATGTAAACGTGCCACCCACCTTGAGATATAAGTTCTAAGATCTCAGTATAGTTATAGATCTCAGTATACCGAAACGCATTACTGCTTCACGGCAGAAATAGGTAGGGCGGTGGTACCTACCGGCGCGGACTCACAAGACGTCCCACCACCTGTAAATAGCAGTAAGAGATAGTCCAACAGCTGACCTCCTCCCAGGACAGCACGACCATCTCCAACAGGTCGGCGCGCACGTTGAGCTGCTCCAGCTTCTTCCTCACGCGGCTGTTGTTGACAACACCCGGCGGCTTCTCGCGTTTCGGGCCCGGGTTCTTTCTCCGGTCCAATTTCGGTGCCACTAAAACATTTAAACCAATACGCCTTAGGTTAATCCTTTTTTTTAAATAAAAAAAAAATGTGTGCGTGTACTAGTGTACACACGTAAGAAGTGAAACTTATTTATGGCCTTATTTTTCGAAAAATGATCTACATGCAACTTTCTAGAAATTGGTTAAATAAAGTTAAATTAGATAAAGTTTAAACAAAAGGATTTTATTATCATAGACATGAATACAAAAAAGTTAAATTAGATAAAGTTTAAACAAAAGGATTTTATTATCATAGACATGAATACAAAAAAGTTAAATTAGATAAAGTTTAAACAAAAGGATTTTATTATCATAGACATGAATACAAAACAGATGGCGCGTAACGGAAAAATGTGACGCGTAACCGAAAAATGTGACGGTAAATTTTTTTCCAACGCCGATAAGGAAGTTTCACTTCAATAATAATATATATATATTTTCCTACCAAAGTAGACGAGTATACGGCCCACCTGATTGTGAGTGGTTACTGTAACCCATGGACATCAGCAATGACAAGAGCAGAGCCAGGCTGCTGCCTGCCAGGAGAACTTGAAACACAACTTTAAAAAGCTCACCCGTATCTGTTTTTGAACGACTCTTCTTAGTGAGGGGCTCATCATCAGACTCATCAAACTCATCTGCTGTCCTGTTGCGTCTCTTTGATCTGACCTTATTACATTTCGCTTTTGTTACCTGGGAGAATACACATATTTGACCGACAATACTGAGACTGACGTATCATCACTGCAATATAATTATCGCTAACACATACATATTGATAAATAATATGGGAACATATAGTATTCTCTACACCCAAAACGATATTTTAACAGGTACTTTAATACCTCATTGCTATTTCAGCCACTATTTCCTTTAATGATTGCAAATATTTTCGCCATAGACTCTGAAATGACTGGTCCAGATGTTTATCTGTATAATACATAAGGAACATCGACCTCATTCCCCAATGTGGCGAATGTACACACATGACGTGCTCACCGACATTCAGGAATATCAAAAATGCTGCAACCGGGCTTTGCCTACCACTGACAAAATTCCTTAAACCAGATCTAAAAGACAGTATTAAACTTTATCTTACCGCATTAGCACCATCATTCGTCAAGCCTTCATCGGCAAATTCACTCAATATATTTTCACTATCCGAATATTCTACTTTGATAAAAGCAAGAGGTTTTGTTTCATTACCCTCATCATCATTACTGTGAACAGGTACTTTTGAATTTGTACTGTCATCTCCGTCATCACAGTCAAATGTATTAATTTCCAAAAAACTTGAATCTGGATTGACAGATCCAAAAGCTGACGTGATTTCTGGTCCGTTGTGATGCGATAGAGCTCTTTTCTTATTTGCTATCAATTTATTATCCTTTGAAATTAATTTATTGTTACGTTTAATTGCCAATACATCTATGTTGTCTGTTTTACTGAATTTCAACTTTGATAAAGTGAACAACGGCTGGCTGTCCTAAAATAAAAATATTGACATGTAAAATATAAAAAACTCAGCTGTTGCTTAGAGATATGCAACCCTGCTAGAAACGAGACAGAGGTTTGGGGAAGAGTGGAGAACGCCAATAAATCTACTGAATAGCTGAGTTTGCTACATAGATGTTAGCATGATTCAAGTTTTCGCTGATGTAGCTATACTACAAAGGGAAGATTTTCCATCGTGTGAGTGATATTGCTCAGGAGACTGACGGTTCGAATGTTTTTTTTTTCTTTTCCTACCTATTCTGATAGACTGGAGAGGCTATTTGAGCTTCTCCTTGACATGTGGGTGAGCTCACGGGGCTCAAACTGAAGTGTAACTAACAGGGTTCCGTCTTCATGGAAGACTGCCCACGTCCACCCTATCCCCAAGAAGGGTGACCGGTCGGACCCATCGAGCTACAGGCCTATCGCGATAACTTCCTTGCTTTCCAAGGTGATGGAGCGAATAATTAATATACAACTCCTGAAGTATCTGGAGGATCGCCAGCTGATCAGTGACCGACAGTACGGTTTCCGTCACGGTCGCTCAGCTGGCGATCTTCTTGTATACCTTACTCACAGGTGGGCTGAAGCCTTGGAGAGCAAGGGCGAGGCTCTTGCTGTGAGCCTTGATATTGCGAAGGCCTTCGACAGGGTCTGGCATAGGGCACTTCTGTCGAAGCTACCATCTTACGGAATCCCCGAGGGTCTCTGCAAGTGGATCGCTAGCTTTTTGGATGGGCGGAGCATCACGGTCGTTGTAGACGGTGACTGTTCTGATACCATGACCATTAACGCTGGCGTTCCACAAGGTTCGGTGCTCTCCCCCACGCTTTTCATCCTGTATATCAATGACATGCTGTCTATTGATGGCATGCATTGCTATGCGGATGACAGCACGGGGGATGCGCGATATATCGGCCATCAGAGTCTCTCTCGGAGCGTGGTGCAAGAGAGACGATCAAAACTTGTGTCTGAAGTGGAGAACTCTCTGGGGCGAGTCTCCAAATGGGGTGAATTGAACTTGGTTCAATTCAACCCGTTAAAGACACAAGTTTGCGCGTTCACTGCGAAGAAGGACCCCTTTGTCATGGCGCCGCAATTCCAAGGAGTATCCCTGCAACCTTCCGAGAGTATTGGGATACTTGGGGTCGACATTTCGAGCGATGTCCAGTTTCGGAGTCATTTGGAAGGCAAAGCCAAGTTGGCGTCCAAAATGCTGGGAGTCCTCAACAGAGCGAAGCGGTACTTCACGCCTGGACAAAGGCTTTTGCTTTATAAAGCACAAGTCCGGCCTCGCGTGGAGTACTGCTCCCATCTCTGGGCCGGGGCTCCCAAATACCAGCTTCTTCCATTTGACTCCATACAGAGGAGGGCCGTTCGGATTGTCGATAATCCCGGTCTCACGGATCGTTTGGAACCTCTGGGTCTGCGGAGGGACTTCGGTTCCCTCTGTATTTTGTACCGTATGTTCCATGGGGAGTGCTCTGAGGAATTGTTCGAGATGATACCGGCATCTCGTTTTTACCATCGCACCGCCCGCCACCGGAGTAGAGTTCATCCATACTACCTGGAGCCACTGCGGTCATCCACAGTGCGTTTCCAGAGGTCTTTTTTGCCACGTACCATCCGGCTATGGAATGAGCTCCCCTCCACGGTGTTTCCCGAGCGCTATGACATGTCCCTCTTCAAACGAGGCTTGTGGAGAGTATTAAGCGGTAGGCAGCGGCTTGGCTCTGCCCCTGGCATTGCTGAAGTCCATGGGCGACGGTAACCACTCACCATCAGGTGGGCCGTATGCTCGTCTGCCTACAAGGGCAATAAAAAAAAATAAAAAAAAAAAAAGTGTTGCTAACACTGGCATTAGCAAGAGCAGTACTTCGCAGAATCTACCACCGGATCGTAAACGCGACCCACTGAGAAGATCCGACGAGAAACTCAGTGGGCCGTGTCTATGGGTTAATTCACTCGTCGAGCCCTTCGTCGCAAGCGGCGGGTTCGATGAGGATGGTGACTGGTGCTTGTGATACCTAAAATCACCGTTAATGGATCGGGAGGATCCGTAATGAAGTGTTTAGGGCGACGTCGACTGTTTACCATTCGGTCCACAAGATCGGGTATGTACTTCTCAGCGGTCACGACAAGAGGGTTTCCATCTCGTGCCGCTTTTTCGAAGTGGCGCAATGATGCCGACTGTAGAAAGTTACTGAGTCAAGCTCCAGGTCATCATGGAGATCCACGTTCCTTAGGAACCATGGTGCTCCGGCAGCTATCCTGCAAAAACGGGATTGAGTAACTTGAAGGGGTTTCAAGATGGTGCGGGCGCGTGAGCGAACACTACACTTGCATAAGTCATGACCGAATGTTGTTGTTTGAAACCTGTATTTAAATAAATTTATCTTGAAAATGTTGTAAGCGAGATTCAGATTTGTCAAATATCTTGTGTTGTATGGTGGCTACCAGCCACACTGGGTTTCGTCAATTATATGATAACTCCGAGAGACTGCAAAGCATAGTCTCCCATGTTTTATTTAATTATTTTGGAATACATAGTGAGGATATGTTCTCTGTAAACATAATCTGTGGTTGCTAATGGTCACCCATAGTACTCGACAAACACCGTTCAATATATTTTTTAGTTACCTTAACTAATTGGAGTAGCTGATCTTGTGCTTTCCTTGCTTGTCCTTTGAAATCTCGAATATTTTTTAGTTTCTTAATACATTCCCAACATAGGCTAGTGTGCGCACTCTGATTCTGTCAACACCAAAAATTGCCATAGATTAATTGTTGAGGACCACTTAGTGCTTGAATAACTCCTCAACTATGCAAGATACTTTCCTCCGATTTTCAAGATTTCTAGAGAAATACAACCTGGTGGTAGAGTGTCCTGTGAGCCCATACAAGGAGCTATTACCACTTTGCTTACTTCTGCCGCAGAGCAATAGCATATGCCAGTTTGAAAGGAAAATCAATCATCTAACTATATAATAATATAGCTCATTACCCTGGGTATATAATAAAAAACATATTTTTCTCCAAAATAGACTGAAAAGAGTTGTTTTCTTCTGATATGCACAGACAACACTAAGACACTGTGAAAGGAAGCGTTGTAGTTTAATTAAGTACCTTCTAGAAGCTTCGGACTTGTGTACCAGAGAATACCACATCTGTCTTCATCAAATATAATCTTAATTTTATAATGGGATGGCTCTATTATTTATCAATTACAGTTTGTGTTGTTACAATAAATAAACAGTAGCGTGAGGAAGGGGCATACTAAAAAGACTGATGCACAGTGTGAAGGATGTGTGTGAGTAATGTGTGAATGCAGATATGTCTTGTGATAGACCTGAATTGAAAAGAGGACATGTTATGCCAACCCCACATGGTGGGATAAGAGCAGGAAGAAGTTTGTATGGTTACTGAACATTTTAGTTACTTATATACATTTAGACACAAAAGATACAGTTGAAAACTTACATTCAACCAAGGGTGGTATAGGGAATGCTGTGGCGGGTGCATGGTTTCAATGAAAATAAATTATTTTATGCACAAACAAAACTCACCCGGTATAAATTAAAAACAATGCCATAAATATTGCAATATCATTCCATTATCTACAATTTATGTATACTTAATAAGTATATACAAAAATACACATTTATGTATTGCCTATACAGAATAAAATAAGTATTAGAGCATAGATTTTTATTTAATAATTCGAAGTGAGGTCGTTTGCCTTAGTTATTGAATTGAAAAATCAGTACGGTTCGCAACTGGCTAGATTTACGGTAATGATTGCACAACAAGGGGCTACACACGCTCGCGTCCTCAATAAATATTTCAATTAATCCATATGATTAATGTTACATTAAAAAAAACACTCACAGTGGATCCGACGAGTTCACCAAATAAATGTTTGTATTCATAATTGGTTTCTGATAATTTCCTATCTGAACTCAAACAGCCTCCGCATAATGACCGCCGTAGGTTATTAAAGGAATCCAATGCCATTTTTATGTTTCTAAATGAATTCGTTTGAACAAAACATTATTTTGTAATCGCGACAGCAAACATAGTTTCACTTCCACTTCAATTGATATTGTTTGTCAACAACTAATGTCATACAATTGCTTATTCGTCCAAGGGATAGGCAAAGGAAACTTAAACCAAAACGACTACAACACTGTAACCACATCTGTTTTACGAAAAGTGAAAAGGAACCAAATGGATTGTGAAATTAAACATAATTAAATGAGATAAATTATGACCACACCGTAAGCGTTGGATGAGATTGTGACGGCTACATCATTTAGAACATTAACACTTACATTTACAGTAGAACATTTTTACCTAATTGGCAGAAGTTGGTTACAGAAGTATATGATAGATAGAAGATAGAAGAATTATAAGACAGTGACAGATGAGGGAAATAAATACATGTATTCTTTTGTATAAATATATTTAGATAGTCGTATACAATGTAGATTAACTACGCAAGTATATTAAATGTAATAATATATACTAACATATTATTAAAATAAAAGAATTCACCTAATTCAACAGATTCCGTTCCCGCCAAAAAGTCTGTCACTGTCAATTGTGAGTGAACAGTTCTATTTATACAACTGGAAAGGCAAAGGTATTGTTACGTTGGTAAGAGCAACACCATCTATCATCGAATAGCAGGAGCGAATATCAAAAGAACCAGTGAAATCTAGAACGCTCGAGAAGTACAACGCCATCTATTGCCAAATGACGGAAACGCATATCGAAAATACTCGATTTGTGAGGAATGTTCGCGATAATTCTAGGGATGTTGTATCGACTATAAAATCGTTGCAGGGATGGCACGAAGTCAGTTAGCGATTCTACTCGAAGAAAAACAGCTAACGGATCAACTGAAGCGAAGCGGAAGAAGTGAATTGAGAATATTAAAGTGGTTGTTAAGAGTTTTAAGCTACGAATAATAAAACTAGTTTTAAGGGTTAATAGAGTGATAATTTGTACTTCGGTAGAATTTTCATTTGTCCCGAACCCCAGCGCGTAGCAGTATCATAACCATACAACTTTATCTTTTGTATATTTTATTTTGATTTTTATTGTGTTTTCAAAGACAGCCAAGCTTCCAAGAGAGAGATAATTGCTATGTTTTCCATTTTTATGTCTGCCGTTCAGAAGTGTCATAGCACAATGAACTGATGTTCGACCAGCCCATACCGTGGGCCCCGAAGGTCAAATATTTAGGCGTCACCCTCGACAGTAGGATGACATTCCGCCCTCACATCAAGACGGCACGCGACCGTGCCGCCTTCATTCTAGGACGTCTCTACCCGATGATATGTAGGCGAAGTAAAATGTCCCTTAGAAATAAGGTGACACTCTACAAAACTTGCATACGCCCCGTCATGACCTATGCAAGTGTAATGTTCGCTCACGCGGCCCGCACCCACTTAAAATCATTCCAAATTATTCAATCCCGTTTTTGCAGGATAGCCGTCGGAGCCCCGTGGTTCGTCAGGAACGTCGACCTCCATGACGACCTGGACTTAGAGTCCATCAGTAAGTATATGCAGTCGGCGTCGATGCGCCACTTCGATAAAGCGGCACGACACGAGAACCGTCTCATCGTGGCCGCCGGTTACTACATTCCCGATCCTGCGACAGAATGGAAAGCAGTCGACGTCGCCCAAAACACGTCATCTCGGATCCTCCCGATCCACTAACGGTGCTTCTAGGTACTTCAAGCACCGGTCACCGTTCTCGTCGAACCCGTCGCTTGCGACGAAGGGCTCGACGAGTAAATTAACTCTCAGACACAGCCCACTGAGTTTCTCGCCGGATCTTCTCAGTGGGTCGCGNCACGTCATCTCGGATCCTCCCGATCCACTAACGGTGCTTCTAGGTACTTCAAGCACCGGTCACCGTTCTCGTCGAACCCGTCGCTTGCGACGAAGGGCTCGACGAGTAAATTAACTCTCAGACACAGCCCACTGAGTTTCTCGCCGGATCTTCTCAGTGGGTCGCGTTTCCGATCCGGTGGTAGATTCTGCGAAGCACGACTCTTGCCAGGGTTCGTGTTAGCAACGTCATAAGAGAAAAAAAAAAAAACAATGAACTCAAGCAACACTCATAGACTTAGGACCTAGTGAGACTTAGTAGTTATGAGACGTTTTTTCCTTTTTAGTTCTGTTGGGAAATTGAGTGAATTGTTTTATTATTTGATTTTCAGGTTCACACGTTTGTACACTAGGCTTGGAGACTACAAAGACTGGACGTGGCTTCTCGGGCTCTTCCAGAAAAAAAAAAGACTTTAGTACATAAATTTCTACTATTATATTGCGAATTTATTTGACTTCATCTCATCTCGTTTCGTTCTATTTTTAGCCGACTTCAAAAAAGGAGGCGGTTCTCAATTCGACTGTTTTTTTTATGTTTGTTACCTCATAGCTTTTGACCGGGTGAATCGATTTTGATGATTCTTTTTTTATTAGAAAGCTAACGCTTCCCGTGTGGTCCCATTTCAATTTAGTCCAGTTTTGATAATGGTATCCACGAGAAAACCATTGAAGTCTTAATTAAGTACGTGCGCGACAAATAGATGAATAAATAACTCACTAACTCAATATCACGCCAACCGATTTCGATGATTATTGTTTTTAGTGTATATTAATTTGTTTTGGAATAATTTTTTTTTCTATTTGAAGTCGGTTTTTGTTAAAGCAGGTCTATTTACATTTATTTCATTTTCCTTCCAACGTACAATTACAATTTCAAATAAATCATCTTCACTTCATTCTATGCTTCATTAACAGCATTTATTTAATGAAGACTTTCACAAACTCGACACTGGCAACAATAGTCGTGAATATCGCCCGACGATGACATTCGTCTTACTCTCAAAATAATCGTACAATACTTTTTACTGGTGTTAGGACCTCTTATGAGTCCGCGCGGGTGGGTACCACCACTCTGCCTATTTCTGCTGTGAAGCAGTAATGTGTTTCGGTTTGAAGGATGGGGCAGCCGTTCTAACTATACTCGAGACCTTAGAACTTGTATCTCGGGGTGGGTGGCGCATTTGCGTTGTGGAAACTTTTTAGATGATAGTCGCAGAAAAACCCCTTGGTTGAAAAAAAAAACTGTCAGTATTTTATATTTATTTTTATTTGTAAACAATTACAAAACTATTTGTACTAAAATACACATAAACATTCAAACCTCATGAATAAATACGAGCACGACACCACAAATACTGTGTTAACTTAGAACTATTATTTATAAATTACAAATAAATTGTGAATAATAACTTAACCCTTGATCGCTGTGATGTATATTATTGAATTATTTATTTTTAGATTTTATTGCTTGTCGATTAAAGGACAAATTACAAGCAATGGTCTCACGGTAACAGAATCTTTGAATATTGCAAATTGAAGCTAACTCGAGTGGAAACATTAATCGATTTTATTAAATAAGGGTTAATTGATTACTGTAATAAACAATATAAATTGGTAATTTGGAACGCATCCAGAATGATCCGTCCATATTTTTTTTAAATCAATGGATGAGTTCCAAATTAAATTATGAGTAGAGTACCTACTTACGTTTACAACCTACAGGCATAATATATAGTTTTTTTAAATGGCGTTTTGATTAAATATTTTTTTAAAATCCAAAAATGGCACCGATTAGATGACAATTTTTACCAACGAAATTTATAAGCATGCAATTTTATGATATAAAATAAAAGTGTATAAAGGTTTTATCGTTGCCACGAATACATGAACTTCGATTGATATATTTCAATTTTAATAGAACCCACCGGCCATTAGACTAGAATCTACCCTGAAATTAATCGCTTTACGCCTCTTTGATCTTCTCACCGAATTGACGAGTTTTACTGCCATTTTCATCTGAGTCTTCACTAATACTGGTCGCTACGGATATTTCTGTAACTGGCTCGTTGTTTTTCGGTTTTTCATCGAAAAATATTGCGACATCATTATCGTTTACTTCCTCCACCGGTTTGACTTTTTCTAATGGCGCTGGAACTACTACTTCGTGGTTCACGGATCCATCGGCTTTCAATTCGCAATCGGGAACATCGCCCCTAGTCACTATTTCGCTGTGCAAGATCTGTTTAATGTCCCTATTTGAGCTTTGTATATCTTTGGTCCTGTCCACTGGCTCGTAGCCGACTGGCAACACCAGGCCATCGTCAGTGTTGCTAGGTTGTTGACGAATTTGCACAGACTGCTGTTTCGGATCTCGGGGCTGCTCTATGGCTTGAAGTATACTCTGTAACAGCCCTTCATTCAGCAGCTGTTCGTGCGGTATGCTCGGATCCTTGCCTTTGCCACCCACAGAGGATTGTATTTGAACAGCATAAGTAGCTTGATTACCAGTGAAATCGTTCGAGAACTGCGTGGCTTGACTTGAAAATTGTCCCTGGTTCAAATTCTGATTGTTATGAACGATCTGCTGTTGCAAGATCTTCGCCTCCTCGTTCAGAGACTTGATTTTGTCCGATGTCTTTTGAATTTGATCGGAAACGAACTGTAAATTCTGTCCTTTGTGACTCTGTTTCTGAATTTCTCTCAAAGATTTACCTTTGACTTTGTCGTCGTGACGGACGTTGTTCGGCAGTACAGAGTGGACGGCCGTGTGCGCTGACCCTAACTGATCCCTCGAACTGTGAACGGCTTCTGAATTCTGATAGCTCGTGAACTGATTCTTGGAGAGCGTGCTGCCCAGGGACTTCAGACTGGCCATGTACTTCGTGGCCAGTTCGACAGGGATTTTCTCTCCGTATTGTGCTGCTTTTAAAATAGCTTCGTGATAGGGGCAGTGCTTTAGAATCGCTGCAGCCTCCAAATTGGAGAGGTTTGCTAGAAGCGCGCCGTCTATGGTCGTTGTGACCGCGTTAGTGTTGGATCCGGACGCTGTGTGATCTGCCACAGTCAAGAACGGAGCTGAGTAAGAGTCGATGGGGGACCCGTAGAGGTTACTGGGTTGTGGGGCCTGAAAGTTGAGGGGATTTCCCGCGTGAGGAAGGCTGTACAAATCCGTTGGTTCTATAGATAGATTTATGCCGAATGATGTGTGATGATTGACCTCTTTGGCGTCTCTGATGGGCGGCGGTAGGTACGCCGGTCCCTGGGTAAGATTGTCGATCGTCAGGGTGTCCTTGCCGTGTGTGGTCTGACCCACGTGCTCCAGTAAGCCTGCAGGAACGGAATCTCTGAACTTAATGGGCTTTTTAGGAGTATTCAAGCCGGTGTGGATGGAGTGACCACCTCCTGAGTAGCTGCCGTACGGGATGGGCAAATTGGATGGTGGCGGTTTCGGTGGAGCACCATATTGACTGCCCGGTGGCACGCCGTACACTCCTGAAGGCGGGATCAGGCCTTTGGCTCCTTGTTGCCTTACAGACGGAGGGTAGGGTCCACCAGAGAGCGAGTCCAATGGCGGAGCGCCGTAAGAATCAAACGGTCTCTGACTGGGTATGGACGATTGGATGAAAGCTAAGTCAGCCTGTGGATCATGGTTCTCGGTATAGTGAGCTTCGAACACTGTCTTCGACTGGTCGATGTGGTTCGAATCTCCACCAACAAGCGAATTAAGGTCGACGTTAGAGAGCGCGTCTTGATGTACGCTGGAGTAGCCAGTTGATATCTGATGCGCGAAGTGAGGACCTTGGTCGAGGACGGGTAGTTGCTGCTCGTTCACGTGTATCTCGTGCACGGGGGGCGGCGGGAGGCCGTAATGATCGCTGACACCGACGTTTTGGAAGACAGTCTCTTCGACGTGTCCAACTGGTTTAGATACTCCAGGTATTGGCTTCCAGCCGTCGTAGAGGACGTGCGGGGGCGTCGGTGGAGCGGGGATGCCTGGGTGTGGGGGTCGCGGGTTTGGGTCGGGTTGCGGCGGCCCGTAGTGTCCGACGTCCGCTATGTCTTGTACCACGACCTGGTCGTTAGGTCCGATTGGGCCGAGCGCGTGGCCCGGCGGTCCGTACGTCTCTGACGGGAAGTGGTTTTCGTTGCCAACATCCAAAGGTAGCGACACGATTGGAGTGCCGTATATAGGAGCGGGTAGATTCAAGTCTAAATTCAGACTGGAGTCGCCAAATGTGCCAAAGTTGGCGCCAACGTCTACAGCGTGGCTTGATCCAAAGCCCCCCAGGCCAATAGTGGTTTCAACTGTGGTGATAGTGGGTTGAGGAAGAGGCGGGGCTTCTAATGGTACACTTGGTAATGGGGGACCGTAAGTTGATCTTATTGGCTTTGGCGGGCCGTACACTGGTTTTGGTGGACCGTATACTGGCTTTGGGTACGGTTTGGACAGCACTTTGGGCGCTTTGAAAGGTGTACCATAAGAAGGCTTAGGGAGTCCTTGCTTAGGGGGTCCGTATAACTTCTTCGGAGGTCCGTAGTACGACTTGGGGGGCCCGTAGCTTAGTTTCGGGGGACCAAAGTTCTTGGGCGGTCCATGGAACTTGGGGGGTCCGTATATTGGCTTCGGTTTGGAAATTGGTGGCGGGGGTCCTTCGTAGTGTTGGCTCGGGAACACGACGGGGGACGGGGGCCCGTACGCTCCGGGCGGTGTTTCTTGCAGGAAGTCGTTTTGCTGAGGGACGCCGTACACGGGAACCGGCAGCTGGAGATCTGAAACTGAAAATATTGTACAAGATCTTTGAAGAGGATATTATTCCAGAACGCTCTTGTTTTTTCAAGGTTTGTAAGGTCTCTCTGATTGTCACCTGGAGACAAACGTGTAACCATCCCAATGTAATATTAATAACCGGACTAATAATAATAATTACTAAATAAAATCCTTTGATCCATTTCGGAGGGAACAGACGTAAATGTCTCTGTGACACTAAAAAAATTTAAAGATGGATGATTTTGTTGGCGGGAACGCGATCAGCGAAGTTGCGTGAATCATTTTATTTTGTTCATTTAGTGTAATATTAAGTTTATTATCTATGTTTAGTGGGTTTAGTATGTCTTTATGTTTAAGCGCGTAATACGGGAAGTTTCTTTTCTCTTGATGCTATTTCCAAGGAGCCCACTAAAATCTCAACAAATCGCTACAACAGCGCTAGTGTAGGAAGTTTTAAACAGAGTCAAGTGTGCTGGGTTAAAATGTTTAATATTTTTCTAGAGTTGTGTAGTTGAAATAGGAAGGATTAAAAATCTCTCTTTACTGGTGGTAGGACCTCTTGTGAGTCCGCGCGGGTAGGTACCACCGCCCTGCCTATTTCTGGCGTGAAGCAGTAATGCGTTTCGGTTTCAAGGGTAGGGCAGCCGTTATAACTATACTGAGATCTTAGAACTTATATCTCAAGGTGGGTGGCGCATTTACGTTCTAGATGTCTATAGGCTCCAGTAATCACTTAACACCAGGTGGGCTGTGAGCTCGTCCACCCATCTAAGCAATAAAAAATAAATAAATAAAATCTCAACTGTTTATTTTTATTACTATTTACGTAGGAATATTGATTGCGTGATTTATGTATCTTTCCACTTGCGACTATGGCGCCATTACATTAACTCTTTTTTAGCGGACACTTTGTAATACACTGACACGACCTTCCTCCTCCATCCTCCATAATACGAGTATATACCTACCAATCACAATGCCCGAGCACCAAGCTCCCGCTGATACGCAGATAAAAAGTCAAAAATCAACTCACTCAGGTCGGACGTATCTCTCGGAGGTCCGTACGCGTCCGGCGGGAGGGGTTCCCCGTAGGAGTTCGACAAGCCAGCCTCCCTCTTCTGGGCTTGAGCACCTGTAAGTTGATATAGTTTTGGTTGTGTGGCCCTAACCGTTACGGTCACGGGTCGTGGGTTCGATTCCCACATTGAGCAAATATTGTGTGATGAACAAGTTTGCTTGCTCTCCGTCTGGGTTTTTATTATCTATATGTGTATATATTTAAGCGTACATAAGTATGTATGTCAGTCTCTGGTGTCCATAACACAGGGAATCCTAATTTGGGGCCCGACGAACATCCGTGATTTGTTCGCAATTCTTCTTCTTTGTCACCCCCTTATCCCACTAGGGGAGGTCGGCACAGCGAATTTTTCTATTCCATTCTCCTCTATCAGCCGTCATGTCAACACCCATTCTAATTTCTCTCATATCGTCTTAATTATTTGTCATTGTTTATTATAGAATTAAAAAAAAATTGTTAATATCGGTAATCGGTAATTGAAGTCGTCGTGGCCTAAGGGATAAGACGTCCGGTGCATTCGTGTTGAGCGATGCGCCGCTGTTCGAATCTCAGGCGGGTACCAATTTTTCTAATGAAATATGTACTCAACAAATGTTCACGATTGACGTCCACGGTGAAGGAATAACATCGTGTAATAAAATTGAAACCCGCAAAATTATAATTTGCGTAATTACTGGTGGTAAGACCTCTTGTGAGTCCGCACGGGTAGGTACCACCGCCCTGCCTATTTCTGCCGTGAAGTAGTAATGCGTTTCGGTTTGAAGGGTGGGGCAGCCGTTGTAACTATACTGAGACCTTACAACTTATATCTCAAGGTGGGTGGCGCATTTACGTTGTAGATGTCTATGGGCTCCAGTAACCACTTAACAACAAGTGGGCTGTGAGCTCGTCCACCCATCTAAGCAATAATAAAAAATAAAAATAAAATTGCGATTCTAATGACGCGTCAGACATAATCCTCACGTATACTTTCAGTTGTTTTGTGTATAAGAGCTTAAAATTAGGTTGTGTGACATTTGAGGTTTAAATTTTTTTTATTGCTTAGGTGGGTGGACGATCTCGTGGCCCACCTAATGTTAAGTGGTTACTGGAGCCCATATACATCTACAACCACCCACCTCGAGACATCAGTTCTAAGTTCTCAGTTTTTACAGTACAACACCTGCCCTTCAAACCGAAATGCATTACTGCTTCACGGCAGAAATTGTCAGGGTGGTGGTACCTCCCCGGGCAGACTCACAAGACGTCCTACCAGCAGTAATTATACGCAAATTATAATTTTGCGGGTATGTTTTGTTTTACACGGTGTTATTCCTTCACCGTGGAAGTCACTCGTGAACATTTGTTAAGTATGTATTTCATCAGAAATATTGGTACCCGCCTGCGGGATTCGAACACCGGTGCATCGCAAGATACGAATGCACCGGACGTTTTATCCTTTAGGCCACAACGACTATTAGACTACAGTAGATACTACTACAACGACAGACCTAACTAAGAAAAACAGGGAAACCGTGAAAATTCGGCTTCTAGTAAACGTGACACACGAAGTACAATGTCCAATTAATGCAGTTCTACCTTCACCCAAGCACAGAGGTGTGAAGTGAATCTCAATAAATGCTATTAAAAAGTACTTACCGGAATGTGTCGCTTCAGCTATTAAATCGTGCTCCGTGTCCTTGGAGACCAGCCCCAAAGGCTGCTCTTCCGCGGAGACAAACGTTAACAGCAGGCACCAGAACATCATCTGAAAACAAAGGTTGACACATTAATAATGCAGCTAAAAGCTTTGATGCGGTTTGATTTATGCGCTAAATGTTGCAAAACACTGCGCGGTGACCAGATTCTTTGCACTGAGAAGATCAAAAGTATTTGTTCAAGGATTAATCAAGGTTAAGTGGTATTTGGATCAGCATAGCCCATAGACATTAAGACCGTAAATACCGCCACCACGCCCTTGAGGTATGAGGTTTAAGTCTCAGTTCCATAGAGCAACTTCTACCCAGAACGCATGAGGAAATATGCAAGGTGGTGGTACCCGGCGGGCTCACAAGACGCCCTACCACCAATAAGCGAGAGTTGTAGTGGCTGGAACTTATGCTGGAAATTGTCTTACAAAGCTTTTACAAAAATAGTGAGAGCGCAGAGGTGGTGAGAAGAGATGGCAGCTAGCTTGATATGGACATATGATACGTAGAGACGAGATGCAATTGACTAGGAGATGTATGGAAATTGTAGTGCAAGGTAAAAGGGAAAAGGTCGACCGAAGAAGACATGGATGGAGTTTGTGAATGACGATATGAGAGAGAGAAGAGTGAGTGTTGAGATGACGGCTGATAGAAGAGAATAGATTAGAAAAATTCACTGTGCCGACCCCACCTAGTGGAATGAGGTGGGGACAAAAAATAAGAAGTGAAAGCGCAGAGGCAAGTAAGACATCTGATGGATATGACTCTGAACTAGAGTTGACGACTCTAAAGATCTCGAGGATCGAAGTGTCGAGAGATTGTTTAGCTTTTCGAAAAATTTGTTTAGCTAAATCCAAGATGTTAAAGAACGCAGCCGATTATTTTTAAGTAAAATATTTACACTGAGTGATCAGCGATGCTTACAACAAAAAATATACTCACTATAAAATAGCAATAAACAAACACACTTATTGCATTTTAGATACATGTATCTCTGTCTGCCCTAAATTCTCCTGAGTATGTCGTGTCTTCGCGTCGTTATTCTAATTAAACAATTAAATAATCAGAACTTTCGCACGCCATCGATGTCGCGGCTAACAAGATATTGTCTGGTGCAGCAGCACACAGCCTTTACAAATTCACGTGGCATTTGGGTACATGCGAAAATTTCACACAATTGAAGGGAAGATAGGCGTTGATCAATATTAAATTTTGGTATTAAGTGCTTACCGGAGACTATAGACATCAACAACGCGAATACCGCCAGCCGCTTTGGGATTTGAAATCTATGTCTGAATCGTTTAGTAATTAATTATGCAGATTTGCAACTTTCTTCGAATTTTATCGCGCGATGTTCGTTATTCCTTCCTCGTGGTAGTAATTCGTTAGCATCTGTTTGGTATCTCATTAGAATATCTGGCACCTGCCTGCGGGATGCGAACGCCGACACTTTCGTGTCGCTTCAACGAATGCACCGGGCGCCTTATCTTTTAGGACACGACGACTTATGGGCACGCTTATTAAAATATGCGTCAAGATATGCAATAATGCTTATTAAAGATGGCAAGCGAAGCGGTAGAGAGTGGGAGACTACGCTCATAGCTTGTGTTCGCTCAACCATAAAGTCGCTGACATAAAAGCCAGAATGGACGGTCTACAGTTGGAAGTCTTCAGATCAACACGAAGAAGACCCATCAGGTACAGAATCGATACAAAGAGAGCAACAGTACTGTCGTGTAGTAAGCCGGAGGAGCAGAAGCGGATACGGCTTCTAGAATATTCAAAGCGTGGTCTGCAAACTCCAACGAGTTTCTGTGGAAACAGTATCAGGAGATGACAACTGACAAGCAATTCATATGTCGCAAATGAACATGGTCAGGTCGCAGGAGAAAGCCCACACACATCTCGAGGCAAGCCCTAGAGTGGTGACCCCTTAAGGCAAGTGGAAAGTAGGGCGCCCCAAGCAGACCTAGCGGCGCACTGTGGCAGCTGAGCTGAAGACAATCGGGCTAACCTGGCCCAAAGTAAAGCGAATCCATCGAAAGCCCGGGACCGATCGCGAAGGTAAAATACTGCTGTAGTTTTCAAGTTTACAAAGGTACAATGGCACAAAGGTACCAAAGGTACCATGGCGCAATGGCTTACTAGAGAATTTTCGGTTCTCTGTCATCCTATGTTGTGTCTTCATCCTGGTCCGTGAACACATTATAGAACCGTCCAGTAAATGCCGTGAAAATTTGACCGGACCCACATCGGACCCCTCGCGGTCCTATTAACACAAAACGAGATCCGCCTAACTGGAATCCAATCTCGATTTCCAAATGTTTAATTATTTATTTATACGCACGTTCGTTTGGATACATCAGAAAGCTAAATCATCGGTTAATGATACTCATTTAAATAAACCTTAATCTAGAATCCGTATTCTAATCAATACGATGTCACACAACGCGAGACGCGTGCAAACAAAACGTCTGTATAATAATATATTAGTAATCATGATGTCCCCAATTAAAAGCGTTTTTAAGGGCTTATTCTCGCTCGTACAGTCGCAAGATTCGGCGATCGCGAATACTGTGACGTATTAAATCTTTTTTTGTAATGAGTTTATTTTCATGTTGCATCTGGGGGCGATAAATGAAGCGAAAGCGCGGCATCTAGTGGACGTGGGACGCAACTACTCGTGAAACATCGACTCACTTCGGGAGGTGCTTCGGCAGAGTCGAGGTGTCATCGCTCGGGTTGAATCGAGCATCGTTCTAATGAAATAGGTACGTACTTCACAAATGTTCACGATTGACTTCCACGGTGAAGAAATAACATCGTGTAATAAAAATCAAACCCGCAAAATTATAACTTGCGTAATTACTGGTGGTAGAACCTCTTGTGAGTCCGCACGGGTAGGTACCACCGCCCTGCCTATTTCTGCCGTGAAGCAGTAATGTGTTTCGGATCAAAGGGCGGGGCAGCGGTTGTAGCTATAATGAGACCTTTGAACTTATATCTTAAGGTGGGTGGCGCATTTACGTCGTAGATGTTTATGGGCTCCAGTAACCACTTAACACCAGGTGGGCTGTGAGCTCGTCCACCCTAAGCAATAAAAAAAAAAGATGATGTTCTATCTCATTCACCAGCTGAATTTTGTATGCGTTAGAACAAGACAGTGAAACGGCTCAAATAGTGACAGGAAAGTATAGATAAAAATATAATATAGTTTTGTCGATACATAATTATGTTTAATTATTTCCTTGAGATCGAGGGAAAGTTCATTCGAGTGTTCACGACGAGAGGAAATCCTCTATTTGCGATGTAATTAGTGTGCTTTTAATTAAACTACGTAAATTGTATCTGTTGATGACGTTTTTAAATGCATTAAATGTCTATCGAAGTTAACTGTGCAGTAAGAACAGCGCCCCTAGCGGCAAACGAGGGCAAACGTTCCAACTCCATACAAATTTGAGTTAACTTTTACGCTATCGAGAACAATTGAGCTCGCTATCTCGCTCGTGCACGATTTAATACGAATATGTGTGAGCGAGAAAGTCGCAATCAATGTTTTACCCACGACTATTTATCTATAATTTGTGAGAAATAGGAATATATTTTTTTACGCGGATATGCGAACTTCATATACGTAAGCTCCGCTAATAAAATTGGTTAGGTATTGAGACCAAGATCGGAAATCCGAACTATAAAATATATAACGTAGCATCATTACGTGTGACGTCATTTGAGGCTAAAATAAACTACGAGCGTATGTAGACGGATTTTTTTTAATACTTAGATTGGTGGACGAGCTGACACCCCACCTAGTGTTAAGTGGTTACTGATGCCCATAGATATCTCCAACGTAAATGCCGCCACCCACCTTGAGATATAAGTTCTAAGGTCTCAATATAGTTACAACGGCTACCGCACCCTTCAAACCGAAACGCATTACTGCTTCACGGCAGAAATAGGCAGGGGTGTTGTACCACCCGTATGGACACACAAGAGGTCCTACCACCATGATGTTGCTCATGCGATGGACCAACCAAGTCAACTCGGCACTTGGCGGCTGTTTGCATGAGTGCACCAGACTCATCACAAGCCGGGAGAAGTGGCGATTGCTCGTGAGGCCCATAGCATCTGCCCACAGCAATGATACTGAATGACGACCACGACCGCTCTGACAAGAGTGATACGACAAAAGAAATACAGCTGGAAATTTGGACCAAGGTGACCATGTTTCGGTGATGCTGAATACTGATACGATTGAACCACAGTAATGTAGCGGTCAGCACTTTATGCGCGCGGAGGAGTTTCGAGTTCTTTGAACACATTGCCAGAAGAGAGGTGACAATTCAGAGAAGCTGCTGTACCAGGCAAGGTATGAAGGCCGAGAGGCAGAAGTCCAAAGCGCTGGTCGGACCAGATACGCTCCACTCTCAAAACTTCAGTCCACGTTGCTATACACACAGCGGAGGATAGACAGGAGTGACGCAGGATAACCCAGGAGAAAGTTATTAGAGGAAGCCACAATCCTCAGTATTAAGGATTATCGACGCGAGGAGGAATGCAGCGGTATGCAACGACTTGGCTCTTGGCTTGGCTGTAAGCAATAATAAAAAAGTGTGTGTGTCCGCTCCGACGCACGACTGGAGTTTACTGGATATAAATATAAATTTGTGTCAGTTGAATACAGTAAAATATGGAAGTTACGTATTCTAGTGAGAATGATCCGGGAGTTGCGGAACACGTGGATGCGGTAATTAAGTAAGTCTATATAATTCACTTTTACAATTAATATATAAGTTGTCCATTCACTGATAGAAGGAATTGTTTATATTTAATAAGCTTTATTAATAAATGATTTGTAGCGGGTTATATTCGGGTATCAACCCACTAACAGTTGATACGTTCAGGAATCGAACCCGAACGGCGTCCGGCCACAAGCAAAACGATGTCGGTAAATTAAACGAAACAATACGAGAAATAGTTCTATATTACGACAACACGATACACTACAGATTA